AAAATACAAACTCATTTATGGAACAAGAACCACTTTCATATATTAGTCAACCAAGAAAATTACCAATGAATAAAATAATAGATTTAAATCAAGATGAAAAGTAAGAAAAACAAAGATATATTTTATTATTAATTATTGTCGTCTCGTCTGTGTATTATTAAAAATAGAAACATGAAAAATACTATTTATTCAGGTAATAATTGTTGCTGCTAATACTGCATGCAACTATCATAGAAAAAAAAAATTAGACATCTGCATTTAATTCACACATCTAACATTTATTGTTTTTCGGGGAAATAGACTAAGGCTAATATACACATTGATTCTTTTTTTGTTGCATGGTGTGTGTGTGTGTATGGTTTTTTTTTTATTTGTCATGTTTTAGAAAACAAGTTAACAGTTCTTTTTTCGCGCTGAATGATTTTATTTGTGAGAAAAAGAATTAATGTTGAAAGCAAGTTGTTATTCTATGATAAATGATGAATATGAAATAACTAATTGAATTATGTCAAGTACGGGTTGAAAGAGAAAGACGATACTTATAGTTATATTTTGTTTCTAACGTAGATAAACATTCCAAGTCACGATCAATTCATCTATCCAAGAGGGAATTATAAAATTCAATGTGCTTGTTTATTAATAAACGACAAAAAATGATTTTTTTTTTGTCAAGAACACCTGTTAACTATATTAGGTAATTAACATGGGAATTTATTTCACTTTTTTTTTATGAGTGATAGATTTTTTTTGTTCCTCTGTTTTTTCTATATATATATATTTTGTTTTTCTACATATGTCAATGTAATAATGGATTATGCTTTGTTCTTTTTTTTATTTGTGTTCATCTGTCTATGTTAGTATTGGCGATTGAGTATGATTTGATAGTAAAATAGAATGTCTATGACTATAATCATCACGTAGAGATGGATGAGAATGAATTTCTCGTTTTTACCATCATTACAGATCTGCTTTTCTGCATAGGCAAACAGTTTTATTTGATTGTTCGATAGATAGATGATAGATGGATGAATTTACTCTTTGCACACAATGCAAACACACACACACATATATATATATATATATATATATATATAATAAAATGAGAGAGAAAAAAAAATAAGGTGATATTTCTTTCGGTATTGTCACTAAAAACGAATATTGTCTCGGTTTTTTTTGTTATTCTGAGTAGTAAAATGATAATTGAAAAACATTTTCTTATTCTATCTATAAACACCTTCTAAACTCCGATTGCATCGATCGATCAATCAAATAATATCACAAGAGAAAGAAAAAAATGCCATTTCATTATCTGGATTTCTTTATCTATGCATAGGGAGAAACAAAGAAAGAGAAGACTATCTGAATGATAGTCAAAAACCGGTCATATCAACGAGATTGAGACGATGTACTTCTCTCTCTCTCTCTCTCTCTCTCTCTTTGTCTGTCTATCCATCTATTGCATTTGAATGCAATAGCAAAAACAAAAGAAAAAACAAAAAAGAAAGGAAAATGGAAGAAAGCGAAAAGAAAAAGACTTGAAGAACACAAACTCGTCGAACTGAGTAAAGAAAGAAAAGAGAGAAGGCGAGAGGGCGAAGAAAAATCAATGTCGTTTTTTCTAATTTATTAATGAGCAAATACACATTCTCGCATTCTCACCATCCTCCTCCTCCTCTTCCTTGTTATTGCCTGGAGGACAGAGGACCGGATACAGGACGATGATGACGAGAACGCGCCGACGAATCGTGCGAAGAAAATCTCTGCTGTTTTTTGCATGTGTATTGCTGACATAGAAGAACGAAGACAAAGCTTGTTAGTGGTGCTTCTCGTTCTCGTTCTCGTTCTTGTTCACCATCATGTTCAATTGGTTGCGTGATGTACTCTCCAATACCCCATCATCTTTTGGTTATCATCATTCAAGCACACCTTCATCTGTTTTTCGTCAACAAAAACAAAAACAACAACAAAAACAAAAACAAAAAAAAGAACAAATTTCTTCCGATGATGATGAAGTAAATCAATTAAATGATAAATCATTTTATCATAATCCACATCATTCAAGTGGACAAATGAATTATGTTGATGTTCCACAACAACAATATACTAACGAACATACATATCCAACATATCTTGCAAAACAACAAATATCTGATATAAAAAATCAAACTGTTGATGATCAAATTCATTCAAAATTATTATCATTACAAGAACTTCCAAATCAATATCAATCTTATGCACATAGACAAAATAATTATGCCTTTAGAAATAGATCTATACCAACAACACCAATTCCATCTTCGACACTTCATTCTTCCTTAATTTCTAATTCAAACGAACAAAGGAGAAGTAATAATAAGGAACGGTCTGATGACGATGAACAAGAAGAAGATGATGATGAGGATGATGATGATGATGAGGATGATAGAAGATCATCATCGATTGGCAATTATCATGGTATTCCTGGTTATTATTCCGGTCAATATCCCCATATTGATGAACAATTTGATTTTGCATCCGTTGTTTTTTGGTACAAAAATGTCATGCAATCAGTTAAAAAATTTCTGTGAGTGGAAAGAAAATCTCGTAATTTAATCATTAACTATATCGGAAAAGAAGAGAAAAGACTAAAGGAAATGAAAAGAAATTTATAGAAGTACATAAATAAGTCAAGTAATATCTTGAAATCAAAAAAAAAAAGAAAAGAAAAGAAAAGAAAAGAACGATTCTGTTTTTTTTTATTTTTAATTCCAAGATACTTTCTTAGCTTTTATTTTCTTCTACGTCAAATAATTTCGACATTTAATTTATTTACTTTTATGTTTAAACAAAATATATATAATATGACGACCTTTTTCTTTCACATTTTCATTAAATTTTCACACTTGAAAAAAAAAAAAGAAAAAGAAATTTTTTAATAGTTCATTTAAAATATGTGGTTGAATGATTTCTAAAAAGAAAGCAATTTATCAAAACATAATCGTATTAATAAAATCTCATCTCAACTAAAAACTTTAAACATTTACTATAATAAAATAAATTTTTTTTTTGTTTTTCATTAGATTTTTTAATTCAATAAAATGACAAACAAATTATTCTTTGAAATATTTTACATAAAAATAATACACAAAAGAAGAAGTTCGAGTAAAATACATAATAAAAACGATTACGAATTATTGATGAAATTATCGTTCAGTCTTCCTCTGTAATGAATAGAAGGAAATTAATCGGATGATAGAACATATTTATATATTTCTTATTTCTTTCTTTTTTTTTTTTTTTATTTTTTTCTCAGAAAGAAACATATATTTTTTTTTTTTTTTTTTGATATATATCAATTATAGTAATAGAGAATTTCTGTCATCCTTCTTAATAAGATTTCAAAAAAAGAGATTCGTTTTGATTCCGGATATTACAAGGAAACAAATGTTCTCAACTATCTTTTCATTACAGTCATTAAACTGATACGTGTTTTCAAGGCATTTTTTTTTCCTTACAGAATTATTTTAAATAATTAATAATAAAAAACAAACTCAGAAGAATACTTGAGAAGTAATTTAGTATTTTCAATGACAATTGTCTATTTTTAAGATTATTATAATCTTTCAATTGTGTTTGAATTTGAACAATTATTTTGTTATATTATTAAAATGAAATTATCGATGAAGTAATGCGTAGAACACAAGCACATGCTTGTTTTTTCTTCAAGCATTTTAAGTATTATCTATAATCGTTGATTCTATTTTCTAAAGTATCATCGAATTTTATTACTTGATATAATACAAGTTTTTATGAATATCAGATCACAAAATGTTTATTACATAGATTAATATTATAATCAAATAATAATTTAACAACTTTTCTTTTTTTTTTTTTTTAATTGACACCTAGTATTATATAAATTACACTAGAAAATATATACTAATTCAAATAATATTTGATTGCTTTTAAAATAGTATATTAATAAAAATTAGTTGAAATTGACTTTTGTTTTTTTTAATTATCTTTTCTGTTTTAGACCAACCAGTCATAATTATATTCATTCTGAAAGAGATGACTATAATAATCATCATTATTCTATAAGTAGTAAAAGTCCAATATTATCAAGAAGATCTAATGAAGAAAATGTTTTATCAAATCATGAAAATGAACATATAAACATTCCATTATCATCATCAAAAGTAAAATGGATGGATGCTGTACGAACTGTAACACAATTAAATCAAGTAAGAAAAAAAAGAAACAAATGTTAATTAGAAATATGTGCATTCACAAAGAAAATCTTTTCACTATGCTAGATTTACATATATGACCTTCACTTCACTGGAATTTTTTTTCTCATTAACTTGTACCAGATTTCATTTCAGATGTCACATATCATTCTTGAGTCTATCACCAACATAATGTCTTTATATTCTAAGTAGAAATTCTTTGATATAATTGTTTATTTAACATATAGTATTCTTATTTTGTCTATTCAAATGATAGAAAAGATTTTTGTTTTTTGTTCTTAAAAATTCAAATCTCATTAATTATTTTTTATTTAACATATCAATAAAATAATTGTTTTTTTGGAAGAAGAAAAACAAGGAGAATACATCCTTTTTCTCAATTAACATAACGTCAAATGTAAAAAAAAAAGACACATCATTAGTAGAGAAAACACAATAGTTTTTTTTTTTTTTATTCCGCAACGTTATTTTCCTAATTCATATTAATAAAATTCTTTCTGCGAAGAAGTACGCCCACAGTTGTGTATATATAATAATCAAAGTGCGATATAGTGTCTTGCTGTTATATGTTAGATGGTACACGATCATGTTGAATTTTTCATCTCATTATAAAACTTCAATGAAATAAGTATAATTATTCATTTTTGTTTTGTAACAGCTGTTACTTTTATTTTCCAAAAACGAAAACAATAAGAGAGAAGAAAATATTTATTTTCTATTTATTATTTGATGGGTTAAATATTCAAGATAGTGCTCTTACAAATATTATACATGGAAACAATATATTCAAATTTAAATTCTGTTATAAAATTTGATCGACGTCGTTCAATAACAACAGCATCAGATGTTGGAGAAAGTTTATGTGATGATGATGATGATGATGATTTAGAATGGGATAAATCAGATTTTAATCGTCATTTACCCGAATCTGATGCATTATCATCATATGATCTTAATGAAATGGCAGAAATATTACGTAATCGTTTTCTTGAGTTTGAGATGTCATCACAAATAGATGAATGTTCAACACCTTTTTGTCAATCAACAATAAACGATATTGTTGGTTTAATATCAAATCAAGATTTACAAAAAGAAAATTTTCTTCGAAATCATTCAATATCATCAATAATAACATTTAATTATAATTATTTAAATAAAAATCAAATTATAAAACATCGATTATATCGAAGTTTATCCAATTTAAATTTAATTAAACAAAAAAAAAAATCATATTTTCTTTTATCAAAACATTTATCATTAATGAATATTAAATCAATTAAATGGAAATTTTTAAAACATTCAATACCATGTACAAATATTTTAACAAAAATCAATTATCATAAATCATTTGGTTCTATACCTCAATCAGAATCAGAACTAATTAATAAAATAACGAATATTAATATTTCACGTTTATCAAAATTAGATATATTTCGTTCATATTTAATTCAATTAAGAGAAAAGACTTATTCATTTATTTTACAAATATTTCAATCAACAAAAATACCTCCTATTACAGAAGAAACTATTGAAACTTATGATATTATTGAAGGATAGATTTACACAAATAGTTGGATTTATTATATTTTCTTTTTATTTATCGTTCTAATACTTAAAAAAAAAACAACAATCCCATTAATATAATAATAGAGATAAATTGCATTAAAAAGTATTGTATTCAAATCAATGAACTCGAGCTCAAAGAAAAAAAAGTCAAAAAAACTTACAGACATTATCAGTTACGATTTACTTTTTGTTTTTTGTCTTTTTGAAACATGCAACTCAAACAACCGATTAACTTTCGTATAATAAATATTAGATGAAATAGAATTTTCTAAAGAAGATTGCATGCAAATTATAATCAGATGATTACAAAAGTATAATACGTCATTTAGAAGACTTTTATATTTTTTTATTAAGTTTATTAAATCTTCTACCTAGAAAATATTATTCGAAATAATTGAATAATAATATGAATTTCTTTTTCTATCAAAAACTAACGAATATTTTATATGACAAAGCATAAAATCATAATTTGAGCTTGATTATAATAGATTTTATTGGAATGACTTTTTAGTATGAAAATTTGAATGTATCTTATTAATGATAATAGACAAATTAATTGAACCTAATTTTTTCAGGATCAAAATTCATGAAAAATAAATATTTTTTGTGTTGTTTAATCTGGATTTTAAATATATATGAAAAATCTAGGTTTCTGTCAATTATTTTCTATTAAGCTGAATATTATCGTCATGATCAATCATTTAGAAATAGAGATAAATGTAAAAATAGACAGGTCTTTTCTTATTTTTTTGTCCTTGTGATGTTTGATGAAAATGATAGTTCCAATTAATATGAAGTAGGTCAAGAGAGACTTCATCCTAGTTGTTCTTTTTTTTCGTTAACTCCCTTGATTATTATTTCAGATTGATTCTGTTTAGTCACTTTTAATTAAAAAAAGAAAAGAAATGTTGAAAACTTTAAGTAAGATCTTTTTTCTTTAACAAAGAACTTTTATAAATATTTGTCCGGTTTTCTTTTTCTCTTGATTAAGTCAATCTGAAAAATGGTTTATATTTATTTAAATTAAAGGTTAGAATGACATAAAATCTATTTCTTTTGTTCGTTTCATTTACTCATAGAAAAAGGGTCAAACAAACAATATAAAACATAATATTATAATGAATTGATATTCCCCAAAGTAAACGAGATATGTCAAAACAAAAAAAAAAAAATAGTTTTTTTAGTAAATATAAACATAGAAACAAAGAAAATGTTGATTATTAGTAGTATTCGCTTTCTATTGGGTTTGACACCTTTCTTTTCCTACTGTCAGTCGTTATCTATCGACATTGACGGTTATTCCTACTGTTGCGTTGCTCATTTAATAGGCTAAGTGTGTTTTTATCTGGTTTATCGATGTTTCTCTTTTTCTTTCGTTATTTTCTTAGCTGTATTTTGTCGTACTAGTAGCCATAGAAAGTTATTGCGTGACATTACCGATGCCCATCAAGAAGAATGAAAGAAAAGAGAAAAACAGCAAGTTCTACTCTAGTATTTCTCTTTCTCATTTCTACTTCTTTTTTTTTTTCTTTTGTCTTTCTTCTGTGTTGTATGAAAGAGATCAAGAGAAGATGGTACGATCTTCAGGATGATATTGTAACCGAATATCCATCATCCTAATAAAAATAGATGATAAAATGCATTATATTCATGGTATACCGGTCTGTCCACCATTATGTCCTCCATTAGTACATGATGATTTAGTTTCTTCATCTGAAGAGAATCTTCATCATCATCATCATCATCATCGATCAAATTTTTTAACGAATCAAAAATTAAGTACATATGCAAAACAATTTAGTCGTCATTTTATTTTTCCATTTTCTCGAAAAGAAAATTTTGACAATGAAACAGCTTTTGATGAAGAATTTGATGAAATATCTTTGTCAGACAATTATTTTGTGAGTTTTCCCTTTTTTTTTTTGTAGAATATAATTTATCATCATATTAAATATGATGAATTCTGTTTTTAATCTGAGACAAAAAGAAAAAGAAACATTTCACTTATTTTGTTTTGTTTACTTTTTTTTGTTTTCATAGAATTCTCATGGAAAACCAGAAATTTCTCATGATGAAAGAACGGATAGAAGACAAAGTTCTATGGTAGTTGGTGCTGATGGATTGCCGATCACGAAAAGAATTCTTCCAGGCATAACTAATATTACAAATAATCACAATAACACAATAACTGATGATGGAATGGGGAAAACGACAAATGGGAGTATTAACAATGGAAAGTATGTTTTATGCTTTTACTTTTTCTATCAAAACTCATGATAAATAAATGATTGATCCAACAGTTTTGCCTGAAAATATATTAGAATAATCAATAATTTATATATGTCTGTAAAAGAGTTTTTCTAATTTCTCCATGATTAAAACTGATGCCTTTATGATACAATTGTCAAACACTCATATCATCATTTTTTCTCAATATATATAAAAGAAAAATTCCTATAATATTATATTGATTAATAACAATATATCTTTCTTACCTTTTTCGTCTAATAGACAAAACATATTTTAAAAAACTCTACGCAAAAAGAAAACTGAATATATGTTATAAATATTTTCTATATGAACTGTTGCGTTTTTCCTAATGAAATTTAACGTAGTAAATAATTGAATTTTTTTTTTCTTTGTTCATTTACTTAAATTCACATATTTGTAATAAGATAATTATATATTATAGAGAAAACATCAAACTAATAAGAAATGAATCGTTCTAAAAGAAAAACAAACTATGATGATTAATTATGATAAAGATGACGACATGTTATAGTTCTATTTATATGATGTTTAACTATCCGAAATCGTTTTTGTTGATAATATTTCTTGTATGTTTAATCGAATTTTCAGATGACTGTACTGAAGAAAATGATCGTCAATTTTTCTCTTATTAGTTATCCTCTGTTGCGTATGATGAGATGTCCTTTTGACATAACTTATTCAGTCATGTAAAATTAATGAGAAACAGAAATGTCGTTTTTGTTATTTATTAGAAAGACATATTGAAAAATTTCTTTTCTACTTTTGTTTAATTTCAATTAAGTGTTATTCATTATTCAATGAATCCTTAATTTGTTTTGTTCATGTTTATTCAATAAAAAACAAAAAAAAAGAAATTTTTGTTTTTGTTTTACTATTATTAATTTATTTGATGATATATAAAATATGTTTGTTTTTTTGATTTATGTCAAAGAACAAACATGATATTGTTCTTTCATATGACATTACAACCTTATTAAACTACTGACAAGTTGTTTAATATGTCAATCATAATATTCTATTAACAGATTTGTTTCGAGCAAATTCAATTAAATAGGATAACATTGTCCATTATCAAATAAAGTATCACATATGAACTAAATTTTATTTGATTTAATATAATAGATGAATTTAAAAAAATCTATATAATATAATAATATAATTTTCATAAATAACCATTGGTTTATTTGTTCAAAAACATTTTCTTTAAAAAAGATATTGTTGATTGTTTTCCTTTATTCTATTTAATCGAAGATCAAATAATAAAACAGGAAGTTATATTCGTTCGTTCTATGAGAAAAATACTCGTCTTTAAGAGAAAAATAATTGCTTACCGAACAATTTAAATTTCTTTTCTCGATCGATCAATGATTATTTATTTTACAAAGAAAAGAAAAGAATCCATAATACTTATGAATTGTCATATTATATTTTTCTTCCTATTTGACATACTTTTGTTTTTGTTATCATTATTAACTTATAATGTCTAATGATGATGATAATGATGATGATGTCAATGATAATCATTGTGAAGTTATTCGTCGTTATACACAAGAATATTTACAACAATTATTTATATTTAATGCCAAAATATCATTGAGAAGTAGACGACAGTCACAATTTCTTTCAAACATAGACGAGTGATTGAATATTTTCTTTAAAAAAAAAAAAATTTTCATCTAATTAACAATTGTAAAATTTGTTTGCTTTTTTTGTTTGTTTTAGTAATGTATCCGGTGATCAACAAGCAAATAATGCATTTTATAATTGTATTGATAGTGCACCGGATATACCTGAACGAGGAAAAACTGTTCCATTGGGTCTTGATATGGTATTAAATAAATTAAATTAAAATTTTCTTAAATAATATTTTCTTTGTATTTGTTTTTAAAGGGTTTATCATTGAGTAAACGTTCAGCAGGAGTTCCTAGTGCAATTGGAAGACATAATTTGAACGATGAAGAACTTGTAAATAATTATCATTTAATTTTAAATACTTTTAGTCTATAATTAATTTATTTGTTTGTCTGTTTTTGTTTTTCTTAATATATAATTATAGCGTACACATGTATATAAAAAAACTCTTCAAGCATTAATCTATCCAATTTCATTAACAACTCCTCATGATTTTGAATTTTGTTCATTTACACATCCAACATATTGTTATGAATGTGAAGGTTTATTATGGGGTATTGCAAGACAAGGTTTAAAATGTCGAGAATGTGGTGTTAAATGCCATGAAAAATGCAAAGATCTTCTTAACGCTGATTGTCTTCAACGTGAGCAGTTTTTTTCTTTTCTTTTTGTTTCTAATCAAAAAATTATTTTTCTTTGATGTTGTTTTTATTATTATTATTGATTTTTGTTGTTGTATTACGGAAATTAAGCTTTTTATTTAATTTTTTTTTCACACATTTTATCTGTTTGATACATATTGGAGTGCATGTCATTGTTGTTTCAGTTTCATTAGTTCATGTGGTCTATCCGAATGATGATCCAGAAGAGACTTACTACATGACCGTCGAGGAGCAACGTATGAAGCCAGTATAGAGATAATAAAATACTTTGCATTTTATTCTTTGATATTCTCCTCTTTAATTCAACGAAACTTTATGCTATTCTCATAATGCTTTGACTTCTGCATGCTTTTTTACTTTTATCTTATCCCGATCACTCTTCTACATTGAAATTTTTGATCAATACTTTAAATGAATCATTTGCTTGTTTTTCATAGTCTGACTATTTTTTTGCAAATTATTAAATTCTTCTTAAACATATTGATAATAATGACGTCCATATTTCGAACGCTTTTATTTGATTTGAATATATATATATATAGGACGTGCACAGAAAAATGCCAAACATGGTGCCGATGATAAGGCAAAAAACTTAATGGAAGCAATGCATGAAAAAATGACACTCAGGGAAACTACACGACCTCTTTTATTTAAGACAATCAGGTAAACTTTTTTTTTATTTGTTTTAAAGATTATTTACATAGAAAAATTTTTCAAATAATAATTAAATTTAAATTTGAATATTAAGAGATGTATTTAATGTTGATGAAAAATCTCATGTTGGTCATATGAAAGCTGTTAAACAGAGTGTACTTGATGGTACATCAAAGTGGTCAGCCAAATTGGCGATAACTGGTAAATAAAAATATTATGTTTGTTTTTTTTTCATATTTTAAAATTTATTTTAGTGATAAGTGCACAAGGTTTAATAGCTAAAGATAAATCTGGAACATCAGATCCATATGTAACTGTTCAAGTAGGAAAAGTAAAAAAACGTACAAAAACAGTTTATTCAGAATTAAATCCAACATGGAATGAAAAATTTTTCTTGTAAGTTCAAATAAAAAAATAATTTTGTATTAAAAGAAAGGAAAAAAAAATCATATTTGCTATTTGTTTAGTGAATGTCATAATTCATGTGATCGAATTAAAGTTCGAGTATGGTAAGATTTATTTACAAAACAATATATATATATATATATATCGATATTTTCTAAATAAAAAACAAACTAAAATTATTTAAAATAGGGATGAAGATGATGATATTCGAGCAAAATTAATGCAAAAATTAACTCGTGAATCAGATGATTTTCTTGGACAAACAATAATTGAAGTTCGAACATTATCTGGTGAAATGGATGTTTGGTATAATTTAGAAAAACGAACAGATAAATCAGCTGTTTCTGGTGCTATTCGTCTTCATATTTCAGTTGAAATAAAAGGAGAAGAAAAAGTAGCTCCATATCATGCACAATATACTTGTTTACATGAAAATTTATTTTATACATTATGTGAAAATAATAATGGTCAACCTATTATTCCAGAAGCTAAAGGAGTAAATATTCATTTTATTTTTTTCTAAATAAATAATTTTAATATAAAAGGATGATGCATGGAAAGTTTATTTTGATGAACCTTCTCAAGAAATAGTCAATGAATTTGCTATTCGTTATGGTATTGAATCAATTTATCAAGCTATGACGTGAGTTTTTACAAAAATTTTCTTTTTTCAAAAAGAACGACTTTTGTTTTTTGTATATTGATGAACAGACATTTTGCATGTTTATCAACAAAATATATGTGTCCCGGTGTTCCTGCTGTGATGAGTACACTTTTGGCGAATATTAATGCTTACTATGCACATACAACAGCAACAACTGCTGTATCAGCTGCAGATCAATTTGCTGCTTCGAATTTTGGAGTAAGTTTTCATGTTGAATATAAAGTGTTTCTCTCTTAAATATTTTCATTTCGAAAAAAAAAAGAACAGAATATTTTTGTAAAATATGAATTTGTTTGAAATAATATTCATATGTTTATCTGAATTCGAGACAATTTTACTTTAATGATGTGCATTCAAAATTTGATTCATTAGATTTAATATAAAAATACTTAGTGAATTACGTTGACAAATCTAATTGATACTAAGATGAAAGTTCATGTGAATGATTGTTGTTCGTCTCAATTATATCGAAAATGTATTTCGATATGGAACCATTAAATTGAATCTTGTCTCATTTTAGAGTTGTCCCAAAAAAAAAGAATTATTAAAGTGTGTATAGATTATCTGATGAAACAACTCATCTCATTACAGTCAACTTTTCTCATTACGATTCGAAACATAATAAATATTTTGATTTTAGACTTTTTTTTTTCTAATTTCAGCGGCTAATTTTTAAGATTTTCTTCTTACTTCTTCTGAATTTTCGGTTTTTACTTTAACTTTTAGAGACAAAATGAATCAATACAAAAAAAAGAGGGAAAAGAAAATGAGAGCTAATTTATCGTAATGTTTAATAGTTATTGTGTTTTGGAAGTGTTTTCATTCTCATGAGATTTCTTTTAGATAACAACTGAAATTGAATAATATACGACTTAATTAAAGCAGAATATAAAATACAAGTAAAGATTGATTAGTAATGTACTCAATATTGTAATTATTTCTTAAGTAATTTGCATCTCTGTAAAAAAAAGAGGTCTTTTTTTTTTAAATAATATAGTCGTGTTCCAAATATGTCACAAATCACACGGGAAATATCTTAGTTTTCATCTATAGTCGTTTTTTCTAGTTTATATTGAGTTATGAATTGACTTTTGTTTTCTATTATTTTTCGTATATTTCAACTGAATGACTCTGAAATGACCAACGATAGAAGTTTTAAACAATATCTTTCTGTTTCACTGGACATGATTTTTTAAGAAAATATTTCCACAATGAAGCTAATATGATAAACAGAAAAACGCTTAACGGAATGGATCTTTCATTGTTCTAAGGAAAAAGAATTGCTACATGTTTCTGTAGCCTCAAATAAAAATCTCTTAATTTTTCTGCTGATGATTTCTGAAATCTGGATTTGATAAACCTATACAATTCACTTTCAAATTTATAATAATCTCGTTCAATTTTATTCGTATGTGAGTCTCGGATGAGTAATAAACAGTCATTCAATAGACCGATGTATCAAAATTCTACATTATACTAAACTTTTGACTATGCTCAAGATGTATATTTTTTCTTTTTTTTTAGAAAGAGAAATTTATAAAACTACTCGATCAATTACACAATTCAATTCGTATTGATTTATCAATGTATCGAGTATGACATATAATCTTTTGAATTTATTTTAAATATATTTAATTCTATTAATTATAAGAATAATTTTCCTTCGTCAAGTATGGATCGAATGCAAGATTTAAAATCCACAGTTGATCTTCTAACATCTATCACATTTTTTCGTATGAAGGTAATTTATTATTTTTGTAATATTTCTTTATTAACGATCGAGATAAAACATAAAAATAAAAAGATGTAATAAGAATATAATAAAATATTCATAGTTTGGAAGAATTATTCCTTTTCGAATATCGATCAATAATCAGGTAAGTTTGAGCATGGTTTTACTGCATGTAATCAAATGCATATTTATGCCTTCATTTAAAATAAGATCAAGTTATTCTCATTCAATGGCTTATAATGATAATATCTTTCGTTTTCCCTTTTTTTTTTTTCTATCATTCATAGTAAGAAGCAAAAAAAAAAGATTGAACAGAAATAAATTTTTCTCTTGTTCTTTCTTTCTCATTGAATTATTCTTTAACGGAAATAATGAAAACATAAATAGTGTTATTCCTCTTGTTGTTAACAGAATTTTTTGTATAGATGCTTGCTATTCAAATTGAAAACCTAATGAATGAGATAGTAAATTTTCATGAACATCTACCAAGTTCTTATTGTTTTTGTTTTTTTAATCATATTATTCAGGTACAAGAATTAAGTTCACCACCACGTGCATCAGCTGTTGTTAAAGATTGTGTCAAAAATTGTATTCGTCATACATACAATTTTCTATTTGCTAATTGTGATGAAGTTTATAAACGAGAATCAAAACAACAAACAAATACAACAACAACAACAACATCAATCACAGATAATAATGAACAAAATGACGATGGAATCCAAACATTATCTACAACAACGAATGTTGTTGGTCCTAGTCTTAAAAATTTACAATTTTGGCATCAACTTATGTACTTATTAACATGTATTATATCTGAAGATAGAGAACGATATAGTTTGGTACTTAATCAGTTAGTTTCATTTCTGTTTAATTATTTTCAAATTTGATTTTTTCAATATTTTATTTTTAGATTTCCATCGGAACTAAATGTAGGCCATATTAGTGCAGATACTTTATGGAAACTTTTATCAGTTGATCTTAAAGATCATCTTGAAGGTAAATTTCTATCTAGAACGTTTTTCAAGTGTAAAATATTACTTGTATCTTTATATAATTTACTTGTTGAACAATGATTATTTCCCATCTCGAAAATAGTATCTAAATATATCATAAGTAATTAATATGATGAAAAGAAAAAAAAAGAATATTGTGCATTGTTCTACAGGAAATAGAATTTTTTTTCTATTGGTGATTGGATTTTTACTGCATAGAAAATAATTATCGAACACATATTTCTTCTTTGAAAAAGTTCAGTTGAACTTTCCAAGAAAATTAAAATATTGAGAATTATTATTATTATTATTTTTTTTTTTCGATAAAATATAAAGCAAATTCAACAAAATTATAAGAATCAATCTATCAGTCAATTATTTGACTAAATAAATTTATTCTATGATATATTATAGGAGAAAAAACAAGTAACAATAAAAATGAAAGCTTATTCTATTATTTGACTAATGAAAAATATTTATATAAAAAGCTCTTCTATGTGAAGAGCTTGTGAAACATTTCCTCATTTTTATCATAGAATACTTGATATGTCTAGGATACATTATTAATTGTATTGGGAATAAACCAAGATAATATTTTCATTTATTATAAGCTTTTATGATATACAGTTCACAGCATCTGTCATAATTTTAATGAAAGCATAGTTCGAAAAAAAAGGACGTCCAACACGTAATTTGTTAGGACTCTATGATATATGTTGGTTAATAATAATCTTATAAGACAAATAAAAAAGTTATTATGACATTCGTTTAATTCCATTAATTTTTTTTTATTGATTTTACTTTATCTTTAAAACATCTCTAGGAAACAACATTATTAATTGAAATCATTTAGAAGTTATATAATTAAATAATCAAACTATGTTCAATCTAAAATATAGATTCATTAGAAGTTCTTTCGATGACATAGACATTCAATCGGTTTCTATTCATTAGATTGTAGTACACATGTCTTTCTAAAGTATGCCATATCTGGTATATTTGAAGGTCAGATCCTAATAAATCATCATCAATCAGGAAACATTAACTCAATCGGAAGTCTTCGGAATTCAATTATATTTAATTTAATGAACATTAAACGTCTCTATCAAAAACTATCTTTTATGAAGTCTAGAAAATTGATTATTTTTTCAATCCAATGAGGAAAATAACTCATATCGAAATCTTTTGTTTAATCTTATTTTTGTACACATATTTACTTAGGCATAGAAAATTGTTAAAAGTTATTTTTAAGTGAATGAAAATTATGAAATTATGTATTTTTTTTTAAAGATAGTTTAAAATCAGATGTGATTATTTTTCTTTCTAGAACATGCTCGAATTCCAGCTGAACGTCGTGAAGTGAAAAGTGCTGATTATATGAATCTCCATTTTATGGTCAAACGATTTTATGATACATCAGTTAAAATAATTCCTGAAGCGAAAAATATTGTTCCAGAATATCCAAAGTAATCTATTCTCTTTTTGATATTTTATTTATCTTCTCCTTTTTTTTCTACTAATCATTACTTATATATATACAGTGCATATACGCCTAAAGATTTTAAACGGTAATCAAATTTAAAACAAAAATACACGAGAAAGTGCGCTTTTTTTTTGCCCGCATGATTGAACGCGGCCAAAAATAATAAAATGGCATGATGATCTTTTTCTTTTAAGCCTAAATTTTTTTTTCTTCTTGAATTGATAAAATAATTTTTTTTTTCTTAAGATGGTTTGAACCATTTGTAATGCAATGGCTTAATGAAAATGATGATATGTCAATGGAATATCTTCATAATGCACTTGAAAAAGATCGACAAACAGGAGTAAGTTAAAAATATTCGAAATTATTTCGAACAAAAAAAATTCTTATTATTTTAATTATTTAGTTTCAACAAACATCTGAACATTGTTTATTTTCTTCATCAGTTGTTGATGTATTTACACAATTAAATCAATGTCATGGAATAATAAAAACTCTTGATCTTCATGATCCAATTGTTATAGCTAAATATATGAAACGTTTTTCTGTAACTATATCACAAGTTTTACTTGGTTATGCAAATGCTATACGTCGTACATTTGAATATGCTGGAGGACAAGATAGAATTTGTTCTATATTAATGAATAATATTCAACAATTAAGATTAAATTTAGAACAATTATATGAATTAATGGGTGGAGCACAATTAGATGATGAAACTAAAACAATGCTTAATGATTTACAAAGACAATTAAGTGATGTTCTTGATGAATTAAGCGCAACATTTGTTAAAAGTATTGAACCAACAATAAGACAATGTATTGAAGAAGTTTATAAACAATTACAACAAATTAAAGGAAATCAAATTGGAACTGGAAATACAAGTGGACAACAAAAAGGAGCTGAAGCTATGCTTGTTACGAAACCATTATTAGATTATCTTGATCAAAGGTATTCACCAAAAAAAAAACACACACACTTTATTTTATTATGTAAATAGATCTTTATTAAACAAATTTCCACTGAATTTGCTTAGAAACATTCTATTTAGAAAAACTTAATCAATTTAATAGTTCATATATACAAGTAGAAAACAAAAATAAACTAGATCGAAGGTTGACAATTGTATCTAATAACAGTTTGTTATTTAAAAATCAAATGTAGATTATTAATGATATTCTAAAAAGAGAAAAATTATTAATTAGTATACCTGAATATTTTTCTTTTTATGCTACTTCCTAAACTCATGTATTCCAAAGATTCATGCATAGATCAACTATCGATCTTTCAGATATCGAAGAATATCACTTTTCTTAAATTCATTCTATACAAACTTTTATAATAAAATCTTTTTCTTTATGTTTTAAATCTTCTATTTTTTATAAGTACATGACTTCTAATGTATACATTTAAAAAAGCAAAAGGAAGAGTTTTTATTCTAGGAACAGAAGTGTTGTTACTAGAAGAAACTATAAAAGCGTAATAAACAATGTAGAATAAAAACATTCGTATAGCTCATGTAATCTATATTATTTGTTTCTAAAGATGTTTTTTTAAATTATAATAATATATCAATGAATTCAAATTAAAACATGTCTTACTGGTTCCGTTTCTCTAGTGATCTAAAATGATCTAAGGCAAATATTGAAAGAAGTTCATAGTGTAATTTGCAAATGTATATTTTCAAGGAGAATAAAGTAATTCGAAAAATTTCGAAGTTATTTTCTGAAGTTTCTTCAATTTTCATTTGAAAAACATTTTAATTTAATATCAGAAGTGATATCGAATTTGAGTCTAATCACTAATGAATATCTTCAATGAAAACATTGAATAACTAACACTAATAGAAATATAAAAACATGTCAATAGTTTGCATAGAATCTACTCGATTGATAATTAATTTTTATTATTTTTCTTAGATTAACTTTCTTCGCAAATCAATGTGAAAAAACCGTATTAAAACGTCTTCTAAAAGAATTATGGAAAGCTGTTATTAGTGATTTAGAAAAAGTTATTGTTTTACCACCATTCTCAGATTCGAAACATCTCTTAACAATTCCATCAGCAAGAATAGAAGATGCTTATCGACTTTTATCTGGGGTTTGTTATTTTACCTTTTTTTTTTTTTTTGATTTATAAATAGAAGAAATTTTTTTTTGTAATTAAATAGGAATTAGGTCGAGATAGTGATCGAAGTTTAACTCAAAAACAATGTCAAATATTAGATCGTGGTTTAGAAGATTTAAAAGAATTTTTTCATGCATCTGGACAAGGTTTAAAACGAAATTATTTAGAAAAAACATTAGAATTACAATCACTTAAATATGCTCTTTCATTATATACACAAACAACTGATTCATTAATTAAAACATTTGTTAAAACTGAAAGAGATCAAGGTAAATATAATTATTTATTATTAATTTATTTTAATTGATTTATTAAAGATCGACCAGCATTAGAAGAATCTTTTGGTGAAGTATCAATTCAAGTTGATTTATTTACACATCCAGGTAGTGGAGAACATAAAGTTACTGTAAAAGGTATAAAAACTAAAATTAAATCATAATATATTTTATAATAATTATTATTTTAGTTGTTGCTGCAAATGGTCTTAAATGGCGTACATCAGGAATGTTTCGACCATATGTTGAATTAGCTATGTGTGGTCCTCATTTAAGTGATAAAAAACGTAAACAAACAACGAAAACAAAAAGTAATACATGGATACCAAAATATAATGAAACATTTCATTTGTAAGTTTATTCTATATTTTATTTAATAATAAAATAAAACAAAGAAGAAATGAAATAATTTTTTTTTTTTTTTTATAGTCTATTGGGTAATGAAGAAGAACCAGATTGTTATGAATTAAATATTGCTGTAAAAGATTATTCATTTATGCGTGAAGATCGTTTAATTGGTTTAAATGTTATAAAATTATCACAAGTATGTGAACAAGGTTCATGGTCATCATGGGTACCACTTGGTTCTCGGATTAATTTTGATGATACAGGTTTAACTATATTAAGAATATTATCACATCGAACAAATGATGAATTAGCAAGAGAATTTGTTGCACTTAAATCAGCTCGACGGCATAAGGAAGAAGTATGATCAACATTTGATTTTTCTTCCAATTAAAATGTCATTTCTTATCTAATATAGTTACCTTTATTATTTATATATATATACATATATATATGTATTTTTTTTTTTTCGATGTATGTGTTCTTTTTTATATTGCTACTACCTTAAGACGAACTGTTTTTTTTCTTTGTTTGTTGTTTATTCTCCTTTTTTTTGGATTATGTTATAAACAAAGAAATAATCTATGGTTAATACAATTAATGTATATAATCAAATCATTTAATCTTTATTCAATAAGAACTTAGGAATCTTTATTAATGGATTAGTGTCCTCTTTTAACCGATTTATTTTTGATTATTTTCTTGAGTAAAGAAGGATTTATAGTAAAAATGAAAGAGATAATTATTAATTGAAACTGTGGTGACCTCTTCGATTTTCAAAGATTTTTTTTTTTTTTTTTATAAATAATTTAGTGATTGGAAGAAGAATATTCAGTAAATTTTGGGATATCATATAGAGCTTTTGACTGTTTAAATCAAAAAGCTAAATTTTCATATAAGACAGACATGGAATAAATACATTGATCGATATAGAAGATCGATATTAAATTTTGATTGTAATGGATTTGAATAAATCTTATATGAAATTGAATAGAAATGTTTATAAATTAGTTTTTGAAAAATCAATTTTTTAACCAAACACTCAGTTGTTCTGACAAAATTTTCTATAAGATTTTCTATTTAAAGATGAATATTACAAACGATATTTTCATTCTTTGAAATTTATTCATTTCTCTATTTTCGTTTTTTTTGATATATGTCGTCGTTATCATTATCAAAGCTTCCACCAAAATCATCTTTTTATTCACATTCGTCATCATCATCATCATCATCATCTTCTTCTCCTGTATTCAAATCAAAGTTTATTTGGCGGTTTCCTCCGCCGAAATTTGATAATTTACCTAGTTGCATTTCAAAACAATCATCAACAATTGCTATTCAACCATTAAATATTGACGATGAACTTATTAAACGACAAGAATTAGCTATTCTTATTTATGATCTTGGTTTACATCTTAATGTGTGAGTATATTAATCAAGTATATCTTCGATAATCTATTGATTTCTAAAGGTCATTTACTTGTATTTATACGGGTGTTGTTTATATGCATCGATTTTTTATGTTACATCCATTTCAACAATGTCTTAAAGAAGTAAGAAATTCATTTTAATTAAAAGAATTGATTGTCATAAAATATAATCAAGACAAAAATTTCTTAATATTAAGTTTTGTAGATCAACAAGTTGTTGCAATATAATAGCAGGCGATTCTATAATCTCTTCTACGAACTTTATTTGCAAAGTATTTCAATTGTACATAGTAAAATACTTTTATACTTAAAATATTTCGAACAGAAAGATAATCTATTGAAAAATCTATCGATCATATCTTTAAAAAGAATGTTATTTGCTGAAGAATCATAAAATATATTTCAACATCATCATTTGTCAGAATCATCAATTTTTACGACGACAATCAACTTAATTAGTACATAATATAAAGTCATTATATTTAATTAAAATATTTGTAAGTAAAGTTTATAGAAGAGATTATGGACTGTATCTTTAAAAAAAGTTAGTTCTCTACAACAATTTCACATTGAAATACAGAAGAAACCAAATTAAAACAAACTTATGCCTCATATGTAATTTATTTAGAACTATTGAGGCCATGTGATCTTGACTCCTATTCAGTTCACATCAAAAGAACTAACCATTATCATTATATCTTTCTACTCTCAATTTAAACATTGTTTTTAAAGTTCTGATTGTTATTTTAGCTTCATTGAAATGAACATACATACATCTTTTTTCTCTGTCGTCTCTTCATAATATGTAGTTAATACACTAAAATTGCTGTTCATTGTTTGTTATAAATGCACATATTAGGGAAAACAATAATGTCACAATAACATCGATGGTAATGGTTTATCACAATGGGAATTAGCTGAAAAATTGTATATTTTACTTTTTTTCTGTATTCAATATTTTAAAACGAAAAAAAAAGAACATTTAAATGATTGTTAAACGAAAATTCAAAACTTTCGACATAATAAAACTTGATGAATGTATATTTGGATGATTTTCATAACAATATTCATCGCATTCACATATATTGAAACTAAAACAATAGTAGAAGATTTTGTGAAACAAAGCAAAATTTTATATTTTGTTGAAAAATTTTTGGATTTATAAATATTCAAATGAATAAAGATGAAAAACATAGAGAATAGTCTCTAGTTACTTGAAAACTAGTAAAGAAACTTATATTCTGAAACTTTTTTTTTCCATTTCATATTAAAATATCTGATATCTTCCATAAATGATATCTCTCAATAGTGAACATTTTTCAAAAGTTTTCAACACTGTTCATTTAAGAGAGATTTTATTGTATTCATTATCAATGGATCCGACACTTTTACATTGTTTGAATTGAATCTTTTGTTTTTGCTTTGTCGAATTAACATAATTAAAAATCTTAATTCTAGTCAGTAGCAGCAGCATGTCTTTTTCTTGCCTGTAAAGTCAATGAAATGCCACGACCATTAAATGAATTTACTCGACATTTATGCCAACTTATAAATCAAGTACATAATAACAGTGAAGATTTTTTATCTACATCTTCATCAATAACAACAGTGGGGAATATTACACCTGAAGTAAGTTCAAAAAAAATTCTTTTCTTTTTTAATGATATACAAAGAGACAAAGAGTATTTTTAGGTTCTTTCAAATTATAATCAACAAATAATCGATTATGAAAATATGCTATTATCAACTCTTGGTTTGTTATTTAAATATAAAAAAATTTTGTAGATTTTCGTTTTATTTTTTGGTTTTATGTAGGTTTTTGTCTTAATGTTGAGCAACCATACGTGATTATAACGAGAACTTCTCAAACATTATCAAGTAAGTTAAAATAAAAGAATTTTATGTAATCATTTCAATTATTCTTAGTACCAAAGGAAATAGCTCAAAAAGCATGTGAAATTGCTACAAAATCGTAAGAGAAGATAATTTATTATTTATATTATATTTTGTAATTTTTTATAGTATTTTTTTTACTCTTTTTACAATGAAATATACAACCAATTTAATTGCCTGTTTTGCACTTTATTTGGCTATAAAATCATCTCAAATAAATGTTTGTTGTTTTATTTATTTTTGATTAATTAAAATCTTTTTTTTTTTTCTGTATAATTTAGATACCGGATAATCAAGATGGTAGCCAATGGTTTCATTTGCTTAATGAAGAATTTACTGAAAAATTACTTCAAGGTTCAATTAATAGGATTATAAGATCGCGTATTTTAATCGATTATTTTTTTAAATAGAACTTGCCGACGAATATCAATTAATTTGTATGGAAAAATCTTCAAAAAAATCTCAAGAACGTTTCGAACAAATTCGACAACAAACAGTAAAAACAATATTTTTATCTACTTATACTAAGAAAAACTTTATCTTTCATAGAAAATCAATTGTCAACAATTCAAATCAAGATCAAGCAAGTCTATAAGGAAAAAAAATGATTTCATTCATCTCTATTTGTATAGATTGTGAACAATCAAATTCAACAACATCTCTTCATGATAATGAGCAACATCATTATCCAATAGCAACAACTAGTGGTTCAGTACGAAGTACAACATCTTCTTCATCATCAATTCAACAACAACAACAATCAAATTTCACTGAATATGGTAATATATATTTAAATTCAAGCTGTTATTTTATATTATTATATAGGATCGATTTCTACATCAATAGAAACTCATCATCATACACCAAGTCAATCATCTTTAATAAATTTTTCTCATAGTGATTATTCACCATTGACTGGAGCAATTGTTCATTCACCAACAACAGTTTTTCAATCATCATTTTCACCAAGACATAATCAAAATAATTTTAGTGGAAAAAATTGTAACTAAATATTGACATTTATAGATAGTTAAATTTTGTTTTTCTTTTTTTTCTAAAATTAGATACAAATAATTCATCGATGATTATGTCATCAGCTAAACCAATTCCAACATTAATGACATCAGTAACTTCAAATTCATATCATAATTCTGCTATTTCAAGTCATCATTCACGTTTTGCTGCTTCTACTTTCAAATATCCATCTTCATCTCCAACTCAACATATTTTTCGACCACCTCCACCACCATTACATGCTCAACATTTTCATCGTCAATATTCTTCAAATTATGTTAATACTTCATATTATCCTCAGCAACAAACGCCTCTTTTTTATCATCCTCAACAAGATCCATCGAATATAATTAATAAACGATATGGTGAACCTCCTGCACCACCTACGAAACGTTTTCGATATAATATAAATACATATCAACATTATTAAATTTATTATTTTTTTCCTATGAACTTTAACATAGAAAGTCAAATGTCAGATATAGATTATTGTATAGACCGGTGCTGTTTTTTTTGTTCTTTCTTATGCATGTTGTATGTATTTGTTCTCGTTGATGATATTTTTCTTTTTTTTGTTGTTGTGATAGATTCACTTGGTTATGGGTGTATTGAACAGATATACGAAAATATATTTAAGAAAAGAAAATCTATATCAATTTTCTAACATTTAGCCCTGATTCATTCGAATGTTAGATGAAGTGACAAAGAAATATGCATGTTTATGCCTTGTATTTACATAATGTGATTTCACTATGTACAAAGAGCATTTCGGTATTGTAAATAAATGATATCATTATTGAAAAAAAGTCAGCCAAAGCATAGTATAGACGTTATTCAATGTTAATTGGTGTGAGTTACTAGATAAAACGTTCTGAAAGAAATCTTCGTTCGTTATTAATATCAGAACATGTAAAACATGATAGAATAAAAAAGAAATTGTTAGTATTACAAACTTCTAGAGTTATATGAGTTTTACATTGTATGTCTTCATAGAACTGAAGTAATAGACTATCTCTCAAAAGAACTGATTGGTTAATCAATATATTAAATCCATAGATTTTTCGCCGGTTAACACAAGATATTTCAACTGACTAGTCCGGCCCATGAAAAAAATCCAACCGGTTCAAAGTATCGTTGATAGTAATATAAAGAAAATAATATCGAAGAATTCAGATGTATAGGATAGAAAATAGGCTACAAGTAATGCATGCTTCTGCCATCTCGCTACTTTGACACAAACATTGCTGAAACAGAGAATAGCTCATGAGTAGATATGGATGTGGCGTATTGCCTGTGCTGGATGTGACTATGGATGTTAAATGTTTACGTTTGGTTATCTTGAGATAGCAAATTTAAGTGTGCACATACGGATGAAAGTATAAGTTTCGGTAGACAGTAGACCTACTTTCTCATCCTCGAAGCCACCTTAACCTCATGTACTTCATTTACACATTCACACATACACGCATACACCCACATCCAAACATCTATACGGTGCCGGCAGCTAGATTACTGGTATTGCATCTGCAGTCAAACATTTGAGTCAATCAATTGATGTCTTCGCTTATAAAATCGAAACAGCTATACTGCTCAATACTGCCTTTAATATACGTGAAATAGTTGCAATTTCGGTTAAGGAATCATAGATTGGCAGTACTGAAAGTTCAAGTGTTCTAAAAGAAACGTGAGCATTAGTCAAAGATTGTATTCATAATATGCTTGTTGTTACATTGAAAGATATAGCTAGTATGTTAAGTATATTAGATGGAGGAAAAACATGTAATGCGTGAAGGTGCAAGTGCAACAATAGTAACTGCCGTACTGTAATTGATCGGATTAAAATGGGTGTAGAAAATGCTGTAGATGATGAGAAAAACCATTCTCAGTCGAAACAAAGCTTGGCGAGATCCTGAGAACGTGACGAGTGCACATCTGACATCCGTTTTTCAAAGCTCGGCGGCATGCGGGAGATATGAATAATGTCAAAAATGACAATTAACAGCTGATAGTTTCTTTATATGATTATACATGACTTAGTTTTAGAAAGACCATTGATACCTCAGATCTTATGTGCATATATGGTTTAATTATCGTTTTGCATGACTTAAATTCATCCATAAAGGAGTCTCAAACGTTTAGAAAAATCTCTGTATGGTTTATCTACATGAGATACAAAGAACGATGATGAACAACTGAGAACTTCCTTATATGGAAATCTATGATTCAGATTCATTATCTCTCATCAGTCAGCTGAACTAAGATAGCTGAAGGCGACTGAAATTCATTATAATTTCCTCTACATGAGTCTAGAATTTCAAAATAGTAAATGTCGTATAGAATCATATTTCGATATTTTTCGGACTCTGCAGTCAGCCAACTTTTCTAGCGGCCTTGGACCGGGTAGAGGTCTAGTCTTATTTTTGCTTTTTCTTTGTTTGTTTCCTATCTTTTCTTTATTCTTTTCCCTTTTAATACCTAGCCGTCTACATATACATATATATATATAAAGACACATATTTCGTTTGTTTGATATCTTGGTGAAGTTAGTTGGTAGTGTCTTTTGAAGTAAGTTAAAGAAATAAAGTTTTGTACAACCGTGATACCGCACATGTTTATTTCAGATGGATAAAGAATATTTTCGATCTTACATTAAAACACGCACTTTACTTAATATTCAATCAGGAATTATTCATGATGAACTACGCTCTGTTTATGGTGATGAAGCTCCTGGTCTCAGTACTGTTGAGAAATGATGTAAACGGTTTCGTGAAGGTCAAGAAGATGTTCAAGACAAAGAACGACCTGGTAGACCTGTTATCGAAACAACATCTGAAAATATTGAACGAGTCCGTATCATTATTAATGATGATCCTAATATCACAATTGAAGAGATGGAAATGCAAACTATTCTGAATCATGGTACCATTCAACGAATTGTTTCTAATCACCTGAAGCTTAGAAAAATTACTGCTCGTTATATACCAAAGCATTTGACCGCTTCGCGACGAGCTGAACGAGTCTGAATATCTAAAGAAAATTTAGCAAAATTTGAAGATGGAACATGGCGATTATGTGATGTGGTGACAGATAATGAGTCGTGGTTTTGTCATAAACAATTTGCAACGATTAAAACTTGACCATTCAGATCGTCAACAATATATTAAACAAATAAATTCCAATCAATTATATTCAATGATCATGATGATGATGATTAAACAACTTTTAGATTTATTTATTTATTAAGCATATTGTACTAGATTTCATTGTTGTTTCTTTGTTTATTTAACTCAAAATGAAAATAATAAAGAAGAAAGATTTTATATATGAACAGAAAGTATGATTTTATTTAATCAATCAATTCTCACAAAATTTTAATAACATAATAGAACTCAATCAACAGTAATGTCAACTAGTGGCGGACCCAGGGGTGGGCTGGGGGAAGGCTGAGCCTCCCCCTCAGGAAAATTTTAAAACCATGTATTTTATTCGAAAATCGGGGTTCAGAGGTGCCTTAGAAGAGGCTGAGCCACCCCCCTCCCCCCTAGCCCCTCACAGCTCAAAATCCTGGCTCCGCCACTAACGTCAACTCCACAGAATTAATATATAAAAGAAACTCGAGAATATATTTTTCTTCTATATCCATTTCTAAAATCTATTATATTAGTATGCAACATTATTGTCGTCTATTTCTTTTTTTACTATCTTATCTATTTTTTATAAATAATCAAACATATATCAGAAAATCTTTTTATTTTCATATTGAAATAATCTTTTCATTTTAGATTTGTCTCGATATGGCTTTGAAAAAAATAAGAAGAAGAAGAAGAAAAAAACCAAGTATATATTTTACTATCTACAAGGTTGGTTAAGAGAAATGAATTTTTCTCATGAAATGCAGCTAGCAAGAAATACAAAAAGCTTTTTTTTAATAATTTTATTTTATCTTAAAGGGAAAATATTATTCTATGGACTTGGCTAGTGGAGTAAAGAAATGTTATTCAATTGACTATGTGTACAACAATACTGATATTCAATTTACTATGATGAAAACTAAAATAAATTACATACAATTCCAAAAGTAAGCAAAATATTTTTACATTATATATGATAAGTAAATTAATTTATCAATTTTAGAATGATGCAATAAAATTGAATTACGAGATCTCGTTTTTCATCGATAATCATATCAAAAAACTTAATGAAGAATATCAGTAAGATGCTGTTCTTCTTAAAAAGAGTGTGGGTGTGAGTATCAATTTTCTCTGCACTTACACTCACACCCACATCCATACATCCATGTCCTCAACCATAACTTCGTCCACTTTTACGTAATCAACGCCTAACAGTACTTGGATCTATATCCACATCGTCCTCTGATAGAGCTTTTGAAATGTGGTTTAATGTAACATTCAGCTCACATTTGGCAATATAAACAATCTTTTTATCTGTCATCTTCGACGTGGCATGTGGTCGTCCAGTCTTTGACAAATTCGACAGGTCTTCATTTCGTTGCCGTCTAGCAAACTAATGGCGTACAACTTTTGGTTCATATTCAATGTATTTTGAAAAAGCTTTTTTTGACATTTTAGAATCTAGAGGATGTAGCTTGGGAAACACAGTCTCATAGTATTGTAATAGAGATAGTGGCATGTTTAAAATTTTATGAAAGATTAATGAAAACATTATTCTCGATATCGATCCACATTTTATACATTAACAATTGTTGCATAAGATTGGATCATCCGAATCAGCAAATAAGAAGAAAGACAACGTAGAAGGACTATTCTTTAGGCCTATATTTTTGTTATACATTAGTTCGATAATAAAAATAAAGCAAATATTATAATTTAAAAAGAAAACGAGAGAGGAAAGTCTTTTGACCACGAATATATATTACATTGTATGGTATTTTTTTCCGAAATGAAGGTCACTATAAAAATCGGTATCATTTGTATCACTCAGATGCTTTCTTACAGTGCTCGTATATGGCGTCTTTACGGCAAAGTTCAGAGAATGATATATAGCCGCATTTTCGTCGTATATATACCATATTCTCATCGTATATGATCACAATGTAAACAACTACAAAAATAACAAAGCTTATGGAAAACTTCTCTTTACGTTATGACAAATTTTTAAATGTTTTTGTTACACTAAAACAGCAAAAGCTCTAAAGAACTGATCTTTGAATAGTCGCTCGATTTTAACAATCGTTTCAATATGATGCTAATCATATTAAGTCTATAGATGTTCACAATATTAGATACTTCTGAATCAATGACCATAGAGGGTAACGGAATGAATGTAATGTAATAAACAGTGTTGAATTGATTTTTAATGCATTTTGATTGATTCAAAATCGTCAATAAAATTTAAGAAAATAGACGGACAGTGACAAAAAAGCTCTTCATGAGATGCAATCACATAGAAAGAAAGCAAGGAAGGAAGAAAAATACAATATTACGTTTCTTCAGTATTTCTTTGTTTACATATTTTATCATCACATTTTTGATCAGTGTACAGACACGAACGAAAGAAAAAAAAAATCGATGACACCAATAATAAAAATTGCCTTGTGTTTTTTTTTTTTCATTGACTCCTTCATTATTTCGTTGTTAATGAACTTTTTTTGTTGATCTATCTTGTCTGTCATGATTGCATTTTCAAAAGAAACTCAAAAGAATCATGCAATCAACGTTACGGCCAATGTTTGCTATTCGCTGAACAAATTTCTGTGTCTGTGCAGAGAGACATCGAGAATGCCATACAATGATGGTGTTTTTTTTCTTACTTTTGAATTAAGAAAGAAAGATTTGTGTCTTCAATATCTTCATCGATTTTAGGTAAACAAATATCAGCGATACTTTTCACTATTTGTCACTTGTATGCAAATATATATGAATCTCTTTCATATGCATACAAGCAAAAAAAATAGTTAACAATTAACGCATGTTTCCTAATATGTTTTTCATTGATATACGTTTATAATAAACATAGTTCTAGTGATACATGTTTGCATAGGGCAAGAATTTTTCTCGTTGTCATTATGACGCACATTGAAATTGTGTGAATCTTAAGTGTGAACAAACAAATTTGAATATTATTCCTTTATGAATCATAGAAATTAATGATAGAACATCATTGTTCCAATAACCATGAGGCATGATACATATCACTGATGGTTAAGTATAATAAGAATAATTGTTTTACTTCAATTACTGATTAATCATTGGTAGTACATTTGGCAAGTAGAAACCGTTGTGTGATTATTGCTTCAGTCAAAATAAAAATTATATTTCTTCTTGTTTTGTTCACATTATCAACATGACAATCATATGCATAATGAGAAAAAAAATCAAATCAACGATGTCCTTGTCGTTTTTTTCGTTCTTGTCAGAAAGAGGAAAAAAAGGTTGTTTTGAAAGAACTAAAGAAAAATATACAATATATCAGACAAGATATCTAATACAATGAAACTTAAGTCGCGGCTCATATAAAGCCCAAACGAAAGTTTGAAAAAAAAATCATAAGGCAAATGACGTTGTTGCTTTTTTTTCTTTAATTTGTTTTTGACAAGCATATCTTCAATTGAAACTGGGTTGTGTTTGTCGTTGAGTGTCAAAGAAAAAAAAACAAAGTATCCACATTTCATATCATAGAAAAATCTAGAAAAAAAAACAACGTGTATTGAATGCATAAATAGAAAAGGTAAATTTTGTCCAAACAGCATTCTATTATTCATCACACTCAATCATTTTTCGAACAGCAAAAATTTTATCCAAAATGAGTGCACAACAAAGACAACGCATGGCTGAAAATTACGTGGTCATCTGGGTCGATGAAACTATCGATACGACAACTAAAGATTGTCAAACTATGCTCGCACAATTGCGCAGTGTCATTAATAAAGTCAACCCATGCACCACGACCAAGCAATGTATTGAGAAACTTCAGGAAAACAATGAGGAGATATCATTCGTCATTTCCTCAGGTGCACTTGGACAACACTTAGTATCAAACATTCATGACATGCCAAAATTGTGTGCCATCTTCATTTTTTGCAGTAACAAACAATGGCATGAAGTATGGGCCAAAAATTGGATTAAAATCAAAGGTGTTCATACTGCGATGACACCAATATGTCAAGACTTAGAAATGGCTGTCAGACAATGTGATCAAGATCAAATAACGATCAGTGTTATTGATGTTAATGAAGAAGGTTCTAGCGAGAATCTCAATCAGCTAGAACCATCCTTCATGTACTCACAAATACTCAAGGAAGTACTTCTTGGTATGAAACATGGCCAAGTAGCCATCAAAGAATTGGTCACCTTTTCCCAACAAGAATACCAAGGTAACACGAAAGAAATCAAAATTATTGAGGAATTCCAGCGTACTTATCAGTCAAAATTGGCGATATGGTGGTATACACGCCAATGTTTCATATTCAAAATGCTTAATCGAGCCTTACGAATGCTTGATGGTGATATCATTATCAGAATGGGATTTTATCTTTGTGATCTGTACCAACAAATCGAACAATTACACAAGCAAAAGATCAGTCAATATCATGGGCAGTCCTTTTTAGTTTATCGTGGCCAACGATTATTGACAGCAGACTTTGAAAAACTTTCGAAAAATAAAGGTGGACTAATATCCTTCAATAGCTTTTTATCCACCAGTACAAATCGTGATGTCTCCCTCGCTTTCGTCGAAAGTACCTTAGGAGCAACCAATATGATCGGTATTCTTTTTCAAATAACCATCGATCCCATGGTCTCATCGACTCCCTTTGCCTCTATTCAGGAGGTGAGTTATTTCAAGGACAAGGAAGAAATTTTGTTCTCAATGCATACTGTTTTTCGAATTGGTGATATTCGAAAAATTGACAAGAAAAATTCACTTTATGAAGTGGATCTTAAACTTACATCAGATGATGATCAACAACTCCGTCGACTAACCGATCGTATACAAGAAGAGACCAACATCACTGGATGGTATCGAATGGGTCGATTACTACTCAAAATAGGTCAATTCGACAAGGCCGAAGAATTGTACACTGCACTCCTAGAAAAGACATCCAACGACAGCGATAGAGCAAATATATATTACGAACTAGGTAGAGTAAAATGGCAACAGGGTCAATATGAAAAAGAGATTACATTTTACGAAAAAGCGCTCGAAATCAACCGAAAAACTCTCCCCAATGATCATCCAACATTGTCTGCTTGCTATAACAACATCGGCCTTGCGTATAACAACATCGGTAATTACTCAAAAGCACTTGAATTCCACGAAAAATCACTTAAGATAAGAGAAAAAACTCTGCCTCTGAATAATGTTGATTTAGCTATTTCCTACAACAGCATCGGTCAAGTGTATAACAACATGGGTAATTACTCAAAAGCACTTGAATTTCATGAAAAATCACTTAAGATAAGTGAAAAAACTCTGCCTCCGAATCATCTTGATTTGGCTACTTCCTACAATAGCATCGGCCAAGTGTATAACTACATGGGTGACTACTCGAAAGCACTTGAATTCTATGAAAAAGATCTGGAAATCACGAAAAAAGCTCTGCCTTCGACTCATCCTGATTTGGCTGCTTCCTATAATAGCATTGGTTTGGTGTATAACAACATGGGTGACTACTTGGAGGCGCTTGAATTTTACAAAAAAGATCTGGAAATCATGAAAAAGGCTCTGCCTTCGACTCATCCCGATTTGGCTACTTCTTATAACAGCATCGGTCAGGTGTATAACAATATGGGTGACTACTCGAAAGCACTTGAGTTTCACGAAAACTCACTTAAAATAAGAGAAAAAGTTCTGCCTTCGAATCATCCCAATTTGGCTACATCCTATGACAATATCGGTCAAGTATATAACAACATGGGTGACTACTCGAAAGCACTTGAATTTCATGAAAAATCACTTAAAATAAGAGAAAAAGTTCTACCTCCGAATCATCCTGACTTGGGCACTTCCTACAACAACACGGGCCAAGTGTATAACAACATGGGTGACTATTCGAAAGCACTTGAATTTTACGAAAAAGATCTAGAAATTGCGAAAAAAGCACTACATCCGACTCATCCAGATTTGGCTATTTCCTACAACAACATCGGTCAAGTGCATAACCACATGAGTGACTATTCAAAAGCACTTGAGTTTTACGAAAAAGCACATAAAATCTTCGAAAAAGCTCTACCTTCGAATCATCCCAATTTGGCTATTTCAAAACATGATATTGGCTGTGTGTATGAAGATATGGGAGAATATTCGAAGGCAAGTCAATTTTATGAGCGTGCCGTTGAAGTTGCACAACTTTCACTGCCGTCAAATCATGAGCATCTTCAATTGTATAAACGGTGCCTTCAGAATGCAAAAAGGAAGCTGTAAATTTGTTTTTTTTTCTTGCTTGCTCAATAAATTAGTTTCAATTGTTGCTCATTTACTTTTCGACCTTTCTCAGCTTATGATTCCGTACGCGGAAGCGCGACCAGGAAGATCCCTTTAAACGTGAAATAGGTATATACAGAATGGATCACATAGGGTTGTAGGGCAATGAATGTAGGTTTGATGTAAAATAACGACAACAGGAACCTACTAACACAGCGGATTTCCCAATACTGCACTGCTTTCGCCATAACAGACACAAGGAATCCCATGGGTCAGGTTACGAAGCCATCTGACAGGGTTTGATATAGTCTACTACTATACAATAATATAGCTATTACCAAAAAAGTAATTCAACATATAAAAAACTTTTTGTTTTACTTTTGTGTATTACGATTAATACATGCATGTAATATACTTAAAGAAAAAAGTATTCCATCTGGAATAGATGACTTGTCTACCTTATCGATAAAAATTAACCCTAGAAATCCTATTGGTCACTAGGACTTCTAAATTTTATATCCATTCCCTCAATTTGAAATAGAAATTAACTTAGCTTACACTATTCTATTACTTTATTTCTTCTGAATAGAAAAAATATTTCAAGCAAAATACCTTCCTTGCTTTTTTGTATTTGTGATGTAAATTATATCATTCATTGTAATTTAATGGATTAAAATATAATAAAATTTATTTCATGTAAATATCATTGTAATTCATTGTGTAATATTAATAATAGTGATAAGTTTGATCGAAACAATAACATCGAAGCTGATAATTCGACTTCGAAATATTGTAAACGATTTTGTTGTAAATTGCTATTCACCATAATTTAATGTTATTCATTGTCATTGTAAAAAGATTTTAGTAATAATTTTAAAGTGCGAGAAACATATAAATGATTATCATAACATATGTAAATAATGATTTGGTATCATATGACTGAATAAATTTCATTATAATAAATTCTATGATCATTTTAAAAAAATGTATATTGTACCTTCTAAAATAAAACAAAGATTATTAGAGTACGTATTCGATCTCTTGATGATGATATGTTCGATTGAATAGAATCATTTCATACAAGACAATCATTCCTTATATATACATATGTCGTATCGAGGTTACACCGGTCGATGAAGTTATAATTTCGACATTCATGTTTGACGACGTTACAACTTCGATAAAAAAATTGTCGAAGTTACTTTAATTCAACCAAATGAAAAATAATGATCAATTACTTGACGATATAATAAATGTTATATATATTTACAGTTAATTTTTCACTGTAAAAATATACATACTAATTTTTCGAATATATAGAAAAAATTATGAAAAAAATCAAAATTGTTTTTTTGTTAAAGCTTTATATGATTACTAATTTACACTGACGATACTAATGCCTGTAACTAAAAAAAGAGATAATTAGAATATTATACTCTGAGTTAAACAGCACAACCAGATAATTGGAAAAACTCTCTTAACATATTTTCACCGAGGATCTTTTACATTTTTTTCTTGTAAACCTAGTTATTCACTTTCCATTAAATACAAGACTAAAAATGAAGATAAATGAAGCCTCTTACTGAAAGTAAAAGCAAAGACAAGATCATGGCAAAAACCTAACTCTGGGAATGAAATCCTTGCTCCAGAATGTAGTTTTATTCTAGTGCAATAAAGATATGCTAGAAATTGCAAGAGGTAGATCCAACTGTTTAAATAAATATAAAAATCTAATAAATGAAGTCCTTATAAAATCTTACCGATCACGTTTTAAGGTTGGAAGTTCCTCTTACTGCTTTGTCTATTACTACTGTGGGATTTGTCTGATACGTTCTTCTTTGAGATTTGTTGCACTGGTAGAATTTATATTGAACTGATACATACGTAATACTTAGACGTGGTATTAAGAAATTCAGTTAGGTGAAGTCCTTGTGCAACTCAGTGTGAGTTTGGCTCTGGTGAGCATTTAATTGATATTTAGATGTACTATTTTTGTTATTAATATTAAGTTAAAGTGTTGTTTAACTCAGAGTATCGTCAGTATAAATTGGTAATTATATAAAGTTTTAACAAAAAAAAAAATTAAATGTTTTCTTCACAATTTTTTCTATATATTCGAAAAAATAATATATATATATATATATATTTTTATAGTGGAAAATTAACCGTAAATATATATAACATTAATTATATCATCAAGTAATTGATAATTATTTTTTTATGTGATTGAGTTTTATAGTAACTTCGACACAATTATGTGACGAAGCTATAATATCGTCGACCGGTATAATTTCGATACGACATATATATATATATATATATGCTTTTGTTATCAAAGACCGCTATAAGAAGGAGGATGATGAAATTGTTTATTTTGTTTTTGTACATGTTATTCAAACAAGTTTGACTTATTTAAGTAAAAAATTATGACACAACGGATAAACAAAATGATCAGATTTTAGACTATTAAGAAGTGTATGAATATTTATTTGTATAGAAATCTAATTTATAACAAGTCAAAAACTTACATAGACAGAACTCTTTCTTTTTCAATTTAAAATAAAATTAATTATAGAAATAACAGTTATGAATATAAAAATAGATTTTTTTGTCATTTATTATTTTGAAATATTGAAAACGAACTTATGGATTTGTCGTCAGTTTAGATAGTCGATCATTTTTTAGAGAGTACTTTAAAAAAAAAGATGTCTGTCTAGGATGATTTTTCTTATCAATTGAACGAAGAAAACCTAATTCGCTTTCGCTTCTCTTCGTAAATCTATTTCTTATTTATATTACGATAAAATTCATGCTCTTAGTTGTTGTTTTTTTATATCTTGTTGGTCTTGTTAATTCTAAACCAATCGTTCAAATCAAAGATTATTTTCTGAAAAACAAAAGTAATAAATATTCCGGTAAATGAATTTATCCAAAAGTTATTTTTATCTCAATTAATTTTCTTCTGTACAGGATAGTTCAGTACCTGTAGAATCGTTTAATAAAGTTACTCAAATACATTGTATGTTATATCTCACTGAGCGAATTGGCATCAAGTCTTAAGAAATTGAAAAGCAGTATTAAATGTTGCTCGATTCATAATTGATCAAATAGTTCATTGTCTTGTTATGTTAATAAATATTGAAGAAGATTATGAAATAGTTAATCAAATATATATACAATGGTTTAAATCATCTGAATTTAATCTAGCACAATCGTCAATGGATATTGTCAAATTAATATTATAGCTATCGAATATTAAGTCTATACAACTAAAAAAATCTAATTCATGAATGAATTTTAAAATAAAAATAAATAATTCTATTATATCAGTTCTTTTTGATAGTTAATAAATTGTTTTAATAATATTTTATGCATTAGTGACTATCTATTTTTACAATTTTATACTAAGTGTGACATAATGATTGTAATATCTCGTATTTCGAAAATATCTCAGCACAGATAAATCGTATAATCTTAATTTTTTTAAAGATACGCCATGAAGTTCTTTGCAAGAATAATAATGAGACATCCTATCCAGTTAATTTAATGATTTTTTTTCTAAGACTAAAAGTGAAGCATTGCGTGATGATGAAATGTCTCATTATTATGAGAGAAGTAAAAATAAAAATAACATTGATTATTTTGTATGGTATATCGTGATAAATTGTTACTATTTTATCGGATCGACGGTAACCAATTATTTGGTTATCAAAACTGGTGTCCGCAATAAGATGGAGCTACATCACATACTAATGAAAGATCCCAAGAATAGTGCAAAAAAAATTTTAAGTCGTTAATATATAAAGATCGATGACCTTCTTACTCACCAGACTTGAGTACATTAGATGATTCTACCTTGAGTGCTGTCAATAAACATATTAATTACTACAAGGTTAACATACTAGAAGATTTGAAGAAAGAAATAAAAAGAACATGTCAAAAAATTGTTGTCAGCTATGTTCGCAATATGATAGGCTCTTTCTCCAAAGAGTTCGTGTAGTTGCACAACATAATGGCGATCATATTTTCGATGAACATTCATGATTTTTATTATTTTTTTTTTTATTTCAATTGTTATGGAAAAGCAAATGATAATATCATGAAAAATTTTGTTTGAAATAAGAAGAAGACTATTTTTTAACATTATTTTCATTTTGACTTCTCTAAGAACAATGGGATAGTTCACCGCTACACAATATTTCATTTTTAGTCTTAGAAAAAAAATCATCAAATTAACTCGATAGGATTTATTATTACCATTCTTGTAGGAAATTTCAGGGTGCATCTTAAAAAAAATCAAGATTATACGATTTATTTATGCTGAGATATTTTCTAAATATGAGATGTTACAATCATCATACATCACTCGATATAAATGCGTGAATAAGCAAAATTTTTGTACATAAGAACAACAAAAACAAAAAGAAACTTTCCAATTATAGTTCGTCATTTTTGGTATGTGCCGCTATTAAAGGTTTATTTGCAGCTCCAACACCGTGTTCTTGATGCATTTGACTTATATATGTGCCCAAACCATCAACTAATGGTTGATAATGTTCAAAAAAGAAAGCATTAATTTGTGCACCCAAAATAAGAATTGTAGCAAAATAAAAAAAGAATAGAAGAAGAATAACTGCAAAACCAATTTGTCCTATAAAAAAACAAAAAATATTTTAATTTAACATATATTCTATATGATTGCTTTACCTGCATAATTTCCCATAAATCGTCGAACATATAATGGAAATAAAATAATAAATATTTCAAGTGTACAAGCAGCAACTAATGCTCCACACCATGTAACTTTAAATGACATTTTTTTATTGGGTACAAACCAATAAATACTTTCAAAGAAAATAAACGCTGCAAGTAATGAAAAAACCATTCCCGCAATAAATGTTCCAAAACGACCACCACCACCTGGAATAATACTCATTAAAGCTGATGGAGCTGAACTAGCTGCAAGCATTATTGGAATAATTGTTATAAATAGAAAAAGCATTCCAAATGCTAACAAATTCTGTCGAAGAAATGTTCGTTGAGGTAAACGATAAACAATAGTCATACATTTATCAATAGCAATAAATAATCGAGATGAACCAAATAATGCAAAAAATATACCAATAGCTAAGATTAAACCAGCATCTTTTGATAATTGATTAAATGCAAGATCTACTACCTTAAAAATACACATAATTTATTCATTCATTTTTTTATTTGATTATATTTACTTGTTTAATACCAGTTTGTGTTGTATTATCAGCTGGAAATAAATCAATAATTTTATCTTTGACTCTCTTCTGTGTATCAGGATGACTTTTTAGAACTAAACCCGTAATTCCAAATAATGCAACAGCTATTGGAAGAAGAGCAATTAATAAATTATATGCTAACATTGCAGAAAAATCCATCGACCAATCATTAGAAAATTTCCGAATAAAACGACGTGCTGGTTTTGTTTGACGTTGTCCTCCTTGGAACACAGTTGTAGATTTTATATTATCTATCATCGTTTTTTTTTTGTTGTTGTATATTCAATCTATTGAAATAATTTTATTTTACGTCTACAATAAAATGGCAATGACTTGATAAAGAAAAAAACAAACAAAAGTTATTTGTAATATAATATACAAAGAATCGAAGAAATTAATATTCCATAGAGTGTAAGATAGAATGAAGAACAGAAGGAGGCAATCAAAAAAAAGAAATTCTAGTGGGCGCCCATATCCACAAATGAATTCCACGGAAGATGAAGAACAGAGAAAAAATAAATAAGTGTAAGCGTATAATTGATGACATTGAGGTTTGTTTTTTGCATAGGTCCTATATTCTAAGTATATACAAATTCAACCAATGGATAAATAGTATAAACGACGAAAAAGAAAAGATCTAAGTTGTTGTTCCGAAAGAACCGAGCAAACAACGTAAATTACCCGTTAGAAAAACCTTTCTCGCAATTGGTAACAGAATAATAGCTCTCTTATCTTTCATGTTTTTAGTAGCTGCAAATCTATGAGTAATATAATAAAAAAAAAAAAAGAACCCGAGTGTGAGCCATTATATTACGTTTGTATCTGCTTGTCAATATCGATCTACATCCATTAAATGTATTTCTTATTTGTAAGACAGATTCTTTTGCATTTTTTTTTGTTTTAAAGTTTAAAAACGAAACTCACAAGTCTTTGAATATATTGAGAAAAAAAAGTATTCCATTCAAATAAATATAAATCTAAAAATACCTAAAATTGAAATCAATTTTATTTTAATAAATCATTTAAAAATGAGGTTTTACAAGAAAAAACTAAGAAAAAAAATATTCATTCATCAAGACATCGAATCACTGCGAATGAATGCTTTCGTTCTGTTATATACATTCTTTCTCTTAACGAGAAAAAATTCATGGCCGTTCATATCCGAGAGGTAAAAAGAGTACAAAAAACGAAACGACAGCATGATAAGGCCGTCATCGTCGAATGAAAGAGAATATATTGTTTGAAGGACGGATTTTTACTGCATGTTTGTCACAAAAAATCACATGTTTAGAAAAGAATCATGCAAAATGGCACGTTATGAATCATTGGAAGGCAATTTAACTTGAAACGTATTTAGATATGTCTGTTGATAATGTCTAAATAAATTTTGTTTGCTACAAAAAAGATAAACAATTAAAATATTCGGATTTTCTCTCGCATGAAGAAGATTAATAATAATAATCGAATGACAAAAAAAGACTTGATGATTGATTAAATTATTGTTTATTATTTTGTCTTACTTTGACATGTTTTTACCCATTACATTACGCTTATTTATTATATTTAACAATCTACTTTGAATCCAAGCTTGGTTCTTTTAAATCAAATATTAGATTCAAAATGTTTCGTCGCCTACATTTGAAGATGTTCGGATTTCTCACATTATTTCTATTCTACTAACTAAAGAACATCATTGAGATCAACGTCAGCTCATTTTTCATCAACTGAAAATATTGATTTTATGAATGCTGTTAAGTGTTAAAAATATTGATATATGTTTACATTATGTTTATTATTGCTCGTATTATTAGTAATATGTTGGCCTATTGTTTTTCTAACTTGACTTGACTCTCGTTATCTATTATTTATTCAACATTGTCATTGCAAAACAAACATTCGGCGGTTACAATCATAATATTATTAGGGTTGTTATTGTTTCTATTTCTTTGAATCAGTTAAGCATGACACTATTTTCGTTTTTTCAGTCAGCTCACCTTATTCATCACATCTTTTGTGGAATATGAATTCTTATTTTAAATATCGCTAATGACGTTGTCCTTCCCGCTGATACAATCCACGTGTATTATTTTTCTAGTCACTAATCGTATTTTTATATTATTTTGAGTTATCCTTTCTTTCACTTGATCAAACATGAATTCAAGCTGAGATATATATCTTGAGTTATTGCGTTCAGATGTTTCTATATGTGTACAATAAGTAGTATCGAAGATTATTTGTAAACAGCTTGTCGAAACCAAACTTTGATGTATATCATCCGAAAATATTATATCCATTGCAGAGGAATAGCATGATGAATTCTGTTTCTGATTCATCAACAATATCTTTTATGTCTGAGATAAACGCCTTGGAAGATAATAATTACAGTGTTATTCTAGAAGACAATCTCAAGTAATATGTCAGACGCAGCATGGAAAGTTATAAACGCAGTATCTCATTTGTTTTCTTTTTTAAGATATTGACCTAAAAAACAACTATGGTGTACTTTGAATTGTAATACAACAGGAAACAACAAACTTTGAAAAATTTTTACAATAAAATAATAAAAATTAAGTCTTTAATACTAAATGATAGATGAAATTAAAATATACTCTTATCAATATAAAGAACATAAGAGAACATGTATTAAACTCGCTAATGATATATAACCAGAAGATACTTCTTAGTCGACATCTTCTATATCAGATTTTCATAGATATGATACGATTTGTATAATAAAGAAAAACAATTATATGGCGAACAATGTTCTATTAATTTTAATAATTCTATTATCATAATAGAAATAAATCATTTCTATAAAAGAGATGAGAATATTTCAGGTGTCAGTATACAATAAGTAATCAACTATTTAAGCGTTAAGTATATAATGGCAAAATTAAAGAATAATTTTTTGTATTACTAAAGGACATATTGTTTATTGAATCAAATTATTTTCAAAAGTAGAAATAAAGTTTCAACGGCCTGGGGGTGGTGGTGGAGGTCTTCCACCTGGTCTCCCACTTTCTGTTGATACAGTATTGGGATTGATACCGAGTGTTATGTCACCTTTGACTGCTCCATTGAAACCATTTGCTGTAAGAAATTGAACGGGTACGATTGTTGTTGATCCTTTTGATCGAGAATAAATTCCATCTTCATTATTTCGTACTCGTCGAATCTGGTGTGATGTATACGGTGAACGCTTGGCGACTTCATCTGTAAGAGTATCATTGAAGAAGATTTGACCAGTATATGAAACATGGCCACCTTTTGCATAAATTGCTCCATTAATATTTGTTAAACTAGCATCAACGTGTACTTTGACATGTATATGAGTTGCTCGACCACGATACCAACCAGGATAAATAGTATTAAAAACTGCAATACCTTGTTTGTTAGTTACTTGTTGTCCTATGAATTGGCAATAAGATGAGAGAAATACATAGAAGAAAGAAGAAATGTACCTCGAAAGAAAGTCGAATTATCTGTTTGTCTAGTATTCTGTCCAAGACTAGAAGCAATATAATGAGAATAAATTCCTTCAGCGTCACAGTGCCATATATCGACGAGAGCATCGCTTAAGGGTGAACAAGTAGTCGTGTCTAATACAGTAACAGTGAGACGGAATGGAACACCTGCTTTACCTTCTCTAATTTATTGGTCAATAGTATTAAAAAAAAGTTTATACAATGTAACTAATAGTAACTTACGTAATGTCATTACGAACTGTTGAATTCCAATAGTACGGTCCTTCGGCAGACTCCGGAGCAAGAAGACAAGAGCCAATTGCACGAACACATCGTCGTACTATTGAATAAGTGGTACTAGATATCTATTTTCATAGATAGATTAGATCTTACTTGATTCTTGTTCGGACGAGTCGGTCGAAATGACGAGGAACATAATAAAGACACTTCTGAATAACATATCTATACAAACAAAAATTTAGATACTGAAGTTATTTCTACGTTGAAATATTTAAATTTTTATGTCAATATCAAATACTGATAGAAAATGTTACATATATCACTTTACGAATATCGAAATCAATGTAATAGAAAAAAAAATAATAGTCGACTGCTTAGTAATTTTTGATAGATAAATAGAAAACTTCTTCACTGATTAGTAATTGATTGAAATCTTTTTATCTTTCATTTCATGTTGTTGTTAAGTATATATACTATGTCAACTACAGTTAAAAATACTTGAGTCAATAACCATAATATATATACTTCACATTAATCACATTTTCTCGGTATGTCAATGTACTTTTTTCATTGTACTTTAACGATCATACACATTATATTCTGCATGACCTTTATTAAATGTGGATTAAATATTTTAAAAAGTACATTTTTTTAATAATAGAAATAGATTCCATCATTCGACAGTAGATAGAGTATCATATATATTTTATCATTGCTATTTGAAACTGTGCTAGAATTGAATATAACAAATGTATTATTACAATAATGCATAATATCAAAAATAATAGACCTATTATAATATAAAAAGAGTATCGCAGTTTCTATTCAATTTTTTGTTCGTCACAGAATTTTATGTTTGCTGTTTTGACTCTAAAGAGTTATCATTGAACTTTATCGAAAGGTGATGTTATCATTCGTTAATCTCATTGATTTGAATATTAAACGCTCATACGAAAAATTTTGAATAATAATACAATAAATGTCAAAAAATAGTAACACAAAATAAATGAAAAGAATATTCTTTAATAGTTTTTATTTATTCCAAGATTAGGAATTGTACTATTCTAAAACAAATTAACATTAATAGAGATCTATATAAACTAATCTTAGGATATGTCTTTCTAATCATCATAGAAAACGAATTGAACGTTTTTTGATTGTCCCAAGTCACACTGTATTTTATATTTATGATTGTCTATAGAGAGTCTTTAGAATAAAATTAATAATTGAATAATTTAAATCTACAGTGACAATAAAAAATATTTAATATTATAACTATTTTTAAAACTAAGTTAGTTGTCCATTTAGTTGCCAAGTTTGAATAATTCAATACAGACATTATGATAAGTTTTACATATTTCTAACGATACTCATTGATTGTAATGATCAAAAATAAAATACTAAACTCATATAATCTTAATGCATAAGTTTTGTAAGTTAATGTTGATCGGCGTATTAGACATCAAAAGACAAAAGTTTGACTCAATATTAAACATTTTAATATCTTGTTGTTAATCTTTAAATAAAATGCGTCTTATTTTTGCAAGGTAGATATTTATCAACTTTGACATAAAAATGGAAAGAAAAACATATCGTAATAAGATGACTAATATGCATATTCAATGATTTTGTTCTTAGCAAATAAAACGAGGATTTATTTCTGTCTTGAAACAAGTATTTAGGTTTGTTGCTGTCACTGATCTGTTTTTCGATTTTCTTCATTAGATGTCGCTCAAATACTGATAACTTTGTGTATATAGAGGTATCGGACTGTGCTTCTATTGATCGTATATTAGTAGCTTATAATGAAAGATCAGTTTTCAAGTATTAGTTCTAAAAATTCTAATCATTATCAATATTCTTTTCAATTTATATATTTAATCAGTAGTCTTTTTTTCTATTTGAGATGTTGGCTCGGACTGTATTTAATCAAATTTTTCTTTTCAAACCGTCGCAGATTCCAATTTCTGCATTATCTTTAAATTATCGTTCAATTACTACAGCTGCTCGAGTAAAGATTATCCCGTTTTCTTTTTACTTTTTCTAACATTAAGTTTTTTGTTTATAATATCTAGTTAAAAAAACAATTAAAAATTCCATCAACACCTCGACCACATATTGAACGTCCAGCTGGTAGTGATGAACTTTATAAACGTTTGTGTGTTGAAGTACGTGGTCATGATCCAGCTGTATTAGAAAGTTATGAGAGATTTGTTCGTCTTGTATCTACAGAACTTGATATTCAACCTGTCAATATGTAAATAATATATTTATATTTATTTAAAAAAATAAAACAAAAATAAAATTTTCAAATTATTTTTAGTGAAAATCCTCTTTTTTTTACCGAACGTTGGACTTTACTTCGTTCAAAATTTGCTAAAAAAAAATATTGGCGAGAATATGAAATTCGAACATATTACAAAAAATTTCATGTAAAAGTGTTTTTCTTTTTAATTTCTTTTTAATTTTAATATACTTTACAGTTTAAACATCTAACTGGTTCAACAGCTGATACATTTCTTGAATATGTTCAACGAAATTTACCTGAAGGCATTATGATGATTGTTGAACGAGTAAGCAAAATTACTTAATACCTTCTTTCTTCAATAATCTAACTTTGACAGGGTACATGAGATATTGATGAAACTTTGCATAGATATTCGGATCATAGAAATGCATGAATAAAAAAAAAAAATTTCATGCCTCCATATCTTACCGTTCAGAAGATTTTTAACAATCAAGTTGCAGAGCTCGGCTTGCTTTCATCTGAAAAAGAACTCGTTACCATTTCGGATTAGTAAAAAGGCTTTTTTTTAATTTTTACTCTGTTTCATTTTTCGAAACATCCAAACTTCAAACATGTGAAAATATCAGGCATGGTTTTCTGGAAAACTCAAGAGTCTATCTAGCATTGACAATGAATTAGAAAAATTCATTTTTCTCATCCTAAGGACTATGCATATATCTATCGATAAAAAACAATACATCTTTCTAAAATGAACTATATTGAGTAAAAAATTTGTTCGCACTTCAATCATGACCGAAAAAAATCAATTTTAAGAAAAACGCAAAAGAAATTTCTCTTTTATGTAGTCTTCTAATTATTACTTTAAATGAAGTTGAAATATAAATATATAACATGTTAATTTACTATTGGACATGACCAAACGTCATGAAATTTCATGTTTTTCTTATATTGCGATACTTATATCTAAGTAATAATCGATGCAAACTCTCTGAAATTTTTATCATAGATATAGACTATTTAGATCTATCACCAGTAAAAATTTCATTGATTTTCTTTTCGCCAAACCTGAATTATTCAAAAGACATAGACTGTCACGGAATTTCAATTGTCATGATATTTCGTCTTTTTTTAATGTTGTAATGGAGAAGGTTTAAAAACTAAACATTTCAAATTGTCATGAAAAAAAATTCATCTTCTTTCTAATCCATGAGCAGTGCAAAGACAGTTTTATCGTTCCAATATATCAGTTTGACTCTAACAACAAAATCATATTACAACTTCGGCCTATTTTTCAAGCAAAAATGCCATGTAACAATATACAAAACTATATTTTTCTGGTGAAATTAGTCAATAAATCTCTTTTTTAGACATCTGTCAGAGATTTATATCATTCGTCTGGTGAGTATGTCAGAGTTTACAATATGTTTGATAATTTGTCGATAGTGCACTTTCGATTGTAAAGACAGTTTTCTTTAATCTTGTGATTTTGAACCCTTCTCATGTGAGGGTGATCGATGACTGGCCATGCCATATTGTCTTTATATTTGTTATACCATTCAACAGTGCAATAACGATAGAACGATAACAAATTACTTTTTGTAATTCACTTGTTGCCTTACAGGTTTTTTTTAAAGATTGATAATGATAGTTAGTTTTTACTAGTAAATCATACAAATATGGTATTTTATTTTCTATAAAACATCTAATTTGCGAGTGTGAGTGGAAAGAAGATCTATCTCTACATCTTCAAGTCATTGAAGATTTTCAAATGTGTGTCTCTAAGATGCTAAAGATTTGATTATCTTTGAAAAATATTTGTTTATTTAGTAGGTTTAACTCTAGTAAAGACATCATAATTCATTAAGAAATTGCTTGTTAAGCATGAATCCAAAGAAAAATCTTGTATATAAATGAGTATCATTAAATAAATTCGTTTTTTTTCGAATATAATAAATATTTAGTTGAATAATGATTATTTTGTAGAAATCTCAAATAGATTTTTTCGTAAACAGAAGAACGCAAATGATATTATTTTATGATAAATATGTTTCTTTTTTTTTTATTACTAAAATATGTTGTAATAAAATCAATCATACAGAACGGCATGAAAAATGAGAAAAATCTACAACACTGTATTCGAAAAACAACTCATATTGATCTTAATGATTTGAAAAGTTATTTTAAATTATTTCTTATAGATTCGTTTGGAACCATTTCGTGATAATCTGGTATCTCCATCATCATCATCGTCATCAACAACAACATCAGACAACAATTCTGAACAACAAGAAAATTCTTGAATCGTTAACATTTCTTATAGGCTGATATTGTTAGTTTAATAAAAATACATTTCTATACATATTTAATCTCATTTTTCTATATAAAAATTAATAGAAATCATCATATGACAAGTTAATTAGACGGAGAAAAATAATTAAGAGTATTGGACAAGAGAAAAGAAACAAAATATGCCTAATTTGTTATATTCCTGTTTTGATGATTACACCATAAGGTGCTTATTTATACTCGTTACATAAATATTTTTTTTCTTCTCTTTTCATTATACCTGTCATTTCAAATAAAATACACTAATAATGATATATGCGTACATATGTTTAAAAACATATAAACAAGCCTTATAAACATTTGACAGTTTACCTATTTATATACAGTATATTGAATGGCTTTGACAGTTTTTTTATTTAAAGTTAATAATCTTGAAATAGGAAATGCTAAACGTGATGTATTGGATGAAGATCAAGAAGAAAATTCAACACCATTAATGATTGATAATAATTTAATGTTACTTTGTGCTAAAGTTACATTTCGAGGTATCTATTTAAACTATTTTCATTATAATAAAATAAATAATAATTAAAGAATTTCTTTTTCTTTTTTCATCGATTTGATTTTAAAACAAAAAAAATTTTTTCGTCTTATTCTTCTTCTTCTTCTGCAGGAATTCATCTTTGGTCAAACAATGTTCCGATACAAAATGGAACAGCAAATTTTGTTGCACGTGGAAATAAACCAAAAAAATTTCATTTTAATTTAGCAACTATTTTATTACCTAGTGACAAAATGCGTATAGAATTTTATACAATAAGTATGAAAAAAAATCGTAAGAAAATGATTGCAACATTTGAATTAATACTTGAATCATTAATCGATACAAAATATATGGACTTATTTGAAGAAAATTTATTAGATCCAAATAATTGTTTAATGAAATCAACTGTAAATATTCAAATTTATTATACATCACCAAGTCTTGATAAAACAAGTGATATATTAAGTAGACCCGATGAAACAAATGATACAATTAATTGGGTGGATCAATTTGATGATGGTGGTCGACATGGTGGTCATCGACGTCCATATATTCCTTCAAAACATAATACTGGATTGTAAGTAGTCTATTTTGCTGTTATCTTACAAGAAGAATGTTTGTTTTTTTGTTGTATGAAAACTTTATGATATTTTTTTCCATGAAATAAATTAATAATGTTTTATTATTTGTGCATTTCACTGAAGTGAAATCAATTGTAATTTATAATTCGATAAATGATACTTTTTATTTAGAATAATCTTATTAAAATAGAGATATATAATTTATTTATTTTTTAATTTAAGTAACAAATTTCGTACGAAATTCGTCGGTCGCGCAGATGATGCTGATTCAGATTCATGTAGTGATACCGAATATGATAGCAATGCGAATATTAATGATATATTTTCATCAATGACTCAAGAAGAAAAATCAAAGATCCAATATAATGAACTTGAATTACTCGAAAAAAGGTTTGAATAAAAAAAAATATTGTTTAAATTTAGATTTTTTTTTTATTTCAAATAATTTTAGTTTGGGACGATATGAAGGTGATGAATATCAAATGACTGAATGGCAAATTATGGTTAATATTATACAAGGACGAGATTTTACTGGACTTGATATTAATCCATATGTATGTGTTCAAATTGGTGATCAAAAACGATATACGATAGTACATAAATGTACTACTTCACCATTTTTTGGAGAAGTAAGTCATTTAAATAAAACAAATCTATAATAAATTCATATTAAATAATATAAAATAAGAGAATTATTTGAATTATTATTCGACAGATTTCCGAAAAACTTTTCAATGTAGGAAAGTTTTTTGCTAAAGATCTTTACTGTTCAGTTAGCTATCCGTCATAATAGATATTTGAGGGACACAAAGTGAATTCTCATTTGCAAAAAATAGACTTCACAAAACCAGAGGTGCAGAATAGAGCCCATCGGCTGCAAAATTTTCATACTCGGATTCTGACCTGGTCGAAGTGTATTGCAATACTATCAAGGGAATTTTCTAATCGAAATTGGATTGTCGTCCAAAAGATACGAAATACTTTCTCCGATTTTTCGTATTCGGTGACCAGCGCATCCTAAGCATTTCTCAAGCTACTAGAATCCATCGAATCCAAGATTTTTAGGTCCGAATTTGGCCAGTTCGAGATCAACCCAATGAGCTCGAATGTAGAATCTGCCGCTAAAAGGAAAAATTTCTCCAAATATAGATAAATTCTTGAAAAAATTCTCCTTGTGATCAAAATCAAGGAAAAGTCAGATTCTCTTTTCCACTCGCACATTCGAAGAAAGCACAAAACAAATCGATTTATTTAAGATACAAGAAAGTCATCTAGAAAACTAATCTTGATAAAATATCAATCGATAGAAGCAGATTTCATTTTAAAAAAGTAATGAATTGTTTTGTTTATCACAACAAAAAAAAAGAAAATATTTTTTTTATTCAGATTCCCAAATGAAAATAATTTTCTTACAGTTAAATAAGTTTTCAAAATTTTCTCAAACCTAAAACATTTCTCCCAATGCACGCTACTGCATACAGGTAATTAGATTCTATATGTCTGCAGAAAACCTATAACAGAAAATTTACAAGAACTCTAGTTAGTTTATACATTATGTTGTAAATAAATATTATTTAATTGTTATTAAAAAAGAATTCATAACTGTTATGAACTACTTCATAATAAGAAATAGTGTTCTGCAATCTGATCAGGTACATAACACCCGGCTGCCCCGCTCGAAGTGTAGCTCCTAGTGAAAAGTCATCGAATCGGTTCGAGTCTAGGTATGATCTCATATCGGAATCTAACCCGGCAATTAATAAGAACTCAATGTTTCAAAGTATTTTTATTTTTTCAAGCTGCCATTTATATAGGTCCGTAGAAGTGAAAACCGATTCGATCATGATTGAACAATTTATTGTATTTGAGAATAGATTATAGAAATGGAAATACGATACTGTTTTATTAAAAGAATTCCTTTTTAATGAAAATTCATTTACTGGTGATGATGAACCATATGACGAAGTAACTGAATACACGGAGGAGGAAAATACATTATCAAAAAACTCTACATGTAGTATCGTGATGGAAAAAGTATGCGTGTATATACCCAGAGTTATAACATTCGACACCTAAGTGACGTTTCATTTCATTCCAGCGTCATTAACAACAAGCAAACGTATACTTACCAAAAACTTAATTGGGTTTTAGGAGCAGAAAGGCACCAAGTGAATTCTGAATCACTTAATTCGCTTGCTTTTTAGTGAAATTTGAGATTATCTCTTTTTTGTTTTGTTGCTGTTTATGAAAGAAACTTAATAGTATACTTTTTCAAATAAAATAAAAATGTGAAAATTATACTATGACTGTGAAAGTATCTGCCGGATGTCAATTAGTAGTTCCGGTTCGGATCCGAGTATAACAAAAAAAAAAGTCTTGATCAGAATCTAGTTGCAAAAAGTCTTACCCGTGCTGAACATTAATAAGAAACAATAAAATAATTATTAATTAAAAATATTAAGATTTCCATACTACCGTTTTTTTTTCTATTCATTTCGAAAAAAGCTTTAAGAACATATTTTATGAATAGGAATAGGTGATTCCGATATAGTTTCGAATCTTACAAGCAAAAACTTTGGAATCGGAAACATTTTCATACAAAATGATACACTTCACTACTTACATTTTAACAGACAGTTAAGATCAGTATTTTAAAAGTATATATAAATAATGATTTGCTAAACAACAAACAAGGACATTTCTAGCTCTGTTTAGTATAAGATACATTCAATTCAATGGTCTACATGAATAATTTACAATTACTTTTTAATCATAGAGTGAGTGATTCCAAATCAGATTCGGAATTGGAATCAGTATCAACGATTTCAATTTCAATAAAAATTCGCACTGCTGACTCTGATAAAATTTCAAAAAAGTCAACATTGCATATCCCTAATAGTGAATGACTAAGATGAAATCATTATTCTCAAAAAAATAAATAAATATTTTTGTGTAAATAATCTTCTTCTTATTCTAGTTCTTCACATTTGATTTTACACTTCCAGCCACACAAATGATGGAAAAAGTTATTTATTTTCGAGTATAATTTAAATCTATATTTGTGTACACATGATGATTATTTTTAATTTACATTTATTTAGGTTCATCATGCAAAAAAAATAATTAGTACATTTACTCATACAAAACCAATTGGTATATTTAAAGTTGATGTAGCCACAGTTTATAATGAAAAAGAACATGTATTTGAACGAAAATGGGCTAAATTAATTAATCCAGATTCTATTAAAGCATCTTCTGGTTATTTACTTGTTTCAATTGCAATTGCACAACGTGGTGTTACAACAAAAGTAAACATTAAAAATAAAATCTTTTTTTTTAGTTTTTAATAAAAAATTTTTTTAAAGAATATTCTTGGTGAAGCTGCAGAAGATGATGAAGAATTAAAACCATCGTAAATAAAAATTTAAATAAAAGAAAAAAATTTTTTTATTTTTGTTCCTTTAATTAATATTTGATTTGTTAATAGAAAAGAATTTATACCAGCGGCTATGCCTCGAGGTCTTTTTCCTGTTCAATTTAAAATAACATTATTTAAAGCAGCTGAATTACCCGAAATGATGACTGACTTTTTAACAGCTGTTTCAAAAAAAATTCTTTCTTCTAATGATTGGGAACCAGTTGATCCATATGTTGAAGTAACATATAATGCTATACAAGCAACAACAGATCATTGTAATGGTACATCACCTATTTGGGGTGAAGCAGTTTATTTAGTTGGACAATTTCCACCACTTGTACGAACAATAAAAATAGCACTTAAAGATCATGCTGCTGTTCAAAAAGATCGTACAATATCATCATTTTTAATTGATCTTTTTTCAATAAGTGAAAGTAATCCATTAGCTGGTTTTTTACCAATATTTGGTCCAACATGGATCTTTTTATATGGAAGTCCAAGAGAATATACTATCAATACAAATCAAGATGGTCTTGGAGAACGAATGGGTGAAGGAGTTTGTTATAAAGGACGTTTACTTATGGAAATTGGATGTCATCCAATAAGTGGTGAAAATGCACCGAATATGAGTGTACAAAAAGAAAGTGGAATTCAACATCCTGAAACTGTAAATTTATTTCTTTTATAATTTTGTCAACAATATTTGAGATTGGTTTTTTTTTTTCGTTTTTTCTTAGCATATATTTCCAAAGGAACGTACGTTTATTTTATTCGGTTGTATTTATGATGTAACAATGATTGATAAAGCATTTGGTAATGCAACAATTTGTTTTGAATTAAGTATGGGTTCAAGTGGATATTTAAATCCACATCAATTAACTATTCATCAACCTGCTTCATCAATAACACGACCTTATCCACGTATTCCAATTGATAATAGTGCACAACATTTTCGTTTACCTATTGATTTACAAAAACCAATAATATTTACAAAATATAAATTTTATGATTATAGTTATCGTATGACTTTATCAAATAGATTGAAAAATGCAGCTGATAATATGGTATTAATTGTGTTTGTTTTCATTTAAGAAAATTTTCTTTTATTTTAGTTTAAACTAATTCGAGAATTTGAATTTAATATTAATTCACAAATATCAAATGAAATTCTAATGCAACAATATCGAAAAATGGAAGAATATGTTCATACATTACCGTGTGGATGTGGTCAAAAAAAACCAGCTGTTACTAATTTTGGTATAACAGGTGGAGTTCATGCAACTCTATCTGAAGTATTAAATTTTTCATTATCAAATCTTCAAATGAATGCATTAGATGAAAAACGACGAAAAAAAATTTTTCATAATTTAGAATCATTAAAAAATTGGATTACAAAAGATGTCGATTTTGATGAAACAAAACGATTTGAAATAGTTAAACAATTATATAAAATTGCTCGAGCACTTCGACAATTAGCCTTTGATGTAAATAAAAATAATTAATTTATTATTATTTGGGTTTTCTTTTTACTTAAGGTCCAACCATCATTACCTGATGTATTTTTATGGATGATATGTGATTCAAAACGAGTAGCTTATGCTCGATTGTTACCGGAAGATCTTCTTTACAGTGTATGTGAAGGTGAAAAAGGTTTATATAATGGTCGAATACAAACACTCTTTCTTCAAGTTGATATTTATCTATTAATTTTCTTTTATTTTCTTTGAAAAATGTTTTTATTTTTTAAGACACCACGTACATCGGATAAACCAATAAAATCATCAACAAATGCTAAAATACAAATATTTCTTTGGCTTGGTACCGAAGAACAAGAACAAAATATATTTAAACAATTACCTTCTGGATTTGATAGATCATTATTAAAATTATCTAATGACATCAAATATATACAATATACAGGTTAAAAATAAATAGATTTTTGAATGAATAAAAAAATAAATATTTTAGGAAGATCGTTTTATGAATTACGATGTCATTGTTATAAAGCAAGATCATTAAATGCATTGAATGAAACAGGTTTTTCTGATTCTTATTTGAGTATAACAGCTGGTAATGAAACACAAATAACACCTGTAAGTTTATTATAATATATTTAAATTATTTAATATGTTGTTTAAATTTACATGAATATTTCTAATGATTAATAATAAATTTTAAAATTTTACAAGAACAAATGAGAATTTAATTTATTTTATTTGAAAATATAATTGTTTATTCAATAATATTATAAAATTCGAATGCAATTTTTATTTTCTTTCATAGATTCTTCGAGAATCATTATGTCCACAATGGAATATAACATTGGTTTTTCGCAATTTAATGCATATTGGAAGTCGAGAAATGGCTGAACAAACCATTGGAAATGTTGTTGTCGAATGCTATGATTATGATACCGTAATTATTATATTTTTCATTTTTTGTTTTTATTAATTAAGTTATTGTTTTTGTCTCTTTATTAATCGATTTCTATAATTAAGTAGTCATTATCAGAGATTTATGACTTACGATAGAATCTCTCCAAATGTTAAATCACTTTTCGATTGAGACGATCTTCATTTGATGACTACTACACAAAAAAAGTTGTCGTCCTCCTCATATAATGTGGAAAATCAACTTTCAACTTTAAGGTTTACATGAACAAAGTTCTCAATAAGATTAGTTCATTGATCAAGTTGTAAATTTTCTAGTACTTCCTATCGAGAGATATTCAATATTACAAATTCTCGGTTTTCCACGTAATCTGATGAAGACCACAGCTTTTTTGTTGAAAAACTCAGTCAAATTTCGATATCTCAAGATGAAGGCTCGAATAAGCAAATCATTCTAGATTTTTCTATTACTCTCTAACACTTATCAAACGAACATTATCTAAGTCGGTAAATGATTTAACATCTGGTGATCTACCCTTGTTAGTTATAAGAAAAAAATATATATCCAGAACTAATTAAGTTTTCTTCTAATAAATATAAAGATATTGATAAAGAACTTATTGTGTTTTTTTTATCATAATGAAACATTCATTTAGTTTAATGGAAGTTTTTTAGCTCGAACATTGTTCACTAAAATCAATTTAATGTTATGTAAAAAGCGCATGAGTTTTTTTTTGCTTGTTCAGTTTCTGATAGTTTGTTTATCAGACATTGAAAAGATAGTTTACCTAGGTCGACATATCAGTTAGAAAAGAAGTGTTTATTTTGATCTATTTGCCTCACACCCACATCCTAAGATACAATTGTGGTAAAAGTACGGTTTTGACTGCGCCCGTATACACCGATAGATCCCGATGTTCTTATTGGGAAGTAGGAAAGCAATCAAAAAAAAAATCTAAAACTTTTACAATAAACTTTTCTTGTTAAGGCATATCTCTGTGCAACGTTTCAATTCGAAATTCAAAACTAAGTTTTCTAGGTATTCTTGAGAGTGACTATGGTATTGTACTAAAAACTACTGTAAAAATGCAATACCTCGACAGAGATAAACCAATAGCCTGTACTTTTTTCTGAATATTCATAGCTCATTAGGATTTACATGATGTACATAGTCCTGACTCAAAAACGATTACATACTTCAATATGTTCCCTCATTAGTACTTCGCCTATAAAAAAAAAGCAAAACATTATTCGACAATATATGAGTTTAATTGATTTCTTTCAAAACATAATTCATTTTGTGAATTTGATGAGTGATTAAATCCCAGGCATTTGATGTTCAAACATATCCTTATGTTTCCTCTTTTTACTATCGAAAGCTAAAAAGTCGTCGATAGATACATGTTCTCGATTTATTTAATTTTTTAGTTGAATATCGTTAAGTCTAGTATTGACATTAGTATCAATGAATAATAATGCTTAATATTATTTTTGTTTGTTTAGTCCAATGAAAAATCTATTTTGATGGGTCGTTTTTCTACAACAGCTAAACTTTATCTATCTCATGAAGACAAACCAAAAGAATTATTATTTCAATGGTATGAATTTAAATTTGGTGAAAAAAGAGCTGGAGAAATTTTAGCTGTATTTGAATTAAATGAAGTTGATCCGGTAAAAATAACTAAAACAAAAAAAAAAATTTCATTCATTATTTCAATAGAAAACTCAACAAACTGAATCAATATTTGATCTTGAAGAAATTGAAATTACACCGGAAAATTTTCCACCTAAATTATATATAACTAAATTAATGAAAAATAAAATTTATGAGATTCCAGATGAGATTATGCCTGATTTAAAATCTTATGAAATCGACGTAAGTAGTTTATGTGTTTTTTTTTCCTTTATCAAATATAAAAATAATTCTAATAAATAGGTTATGTTTTGGGGTTTACGTGAATGTCGTCCAATTAATTTTCAATCAATTCAACAAGCTGAAGTATCTATCGATTGTGCTGGTGCACGTATGACTAAAGTTATAAAAGATGTACAAAAATATCCAAATTTCGAATCAACATCTACAAATTCAGACACATACAAAATTATAGTTGTATGAACCAAAAATGAATTCTTTTTTTTCTCCATTTTACTTATTATTTAACTTTCAGAGTTTACCAAAGGATAATAATTTTTGGCCACATTTAAGTATTTGTTGTGTACAACATCGTCTTTTTGGAATGAAAGAACCTATAGGTAATCTGGTTGTAACTGATTTGCAAAAATATATTACTAATAATCGTAATCGTAATGATAAAAGTACTCGACAATTGGCTCTTGATGCTGATGCAGGTAAAGTTGACTATTTATTTCTATACTTTGTAATAATGTTATATAGAAAAGGTATTAGAAATGAAAGACTATATCAATGAGAGATCAAATAGTACACTTTATGAATTTTGAAACATGAAATTTTCCTCACTTAATGCTTCTTTGCTCTATGACTCTTATAGAGACCATTTTATAAAAACTTCCTTCTCTTGAATGATGAAACAGATTTTACATCAACTTAAAACCTATCTATTATGAATTTTGCATCAATAATTTAAATCTAATATTTATCATAAAAAAAGAAGTTTTGAGGTGAAGAGTATGCAGATATGTAAAGACAAGAAAGATGTTAAATAGCTATTTTTCTTCGTAGATTTTCGGTGTCTTATTTTATATAGTTCTTCATCTTAATAAAAATATAACAAAAAAAAAAATGAATAATATTTCATAGTAATTTGAAAACAATTGAAAACATTATAGAAGATTAATTGAGTGACATGTCTCTTACGAATACTTCTAGTGTGAAAAACAACATAAAAACAAAAATTAATTTATACGATTTTTAACAATCATTCGAAAATTTTGAATTCAGAAAGACGATCGAAAATAGAAATGTAAGGAAAAATTTCATATTGTTTTGATAATATATCTCTATGAATGATTGAGAAACTAAAATAAAAATATTTATTTAGATTTTCAAGTTAAATTCTTCATGAATTAGTTTATTTCTTGTTCATTTGTTGTATTCCTCATTTGTAGGACACATAACATATAACATAGTTTTATTTCTATTTTTTAGCTACCTTAGATATTCAAAATAAGCCATTACTAAAAAGAGAAACATCAATGTTCGAACGTCAAATAAGTCAAATAAAAACTCCTTATGAAAAGCAACAATCAACCATGAGCCATAATTCATTGGCACAAGAAGATAGTGTAAGAAATTTGAAATAAACTATTTCATTTAAAAATTATTTTATTAAACATATTTATTCAGGTTGAAAAATCAGAAATACAAACACAACCTTCAAACGATAATGATGATAAATTGGAATCATCTGTTGATAGTTATCAACAATTAACAACTTTAGATAGATCAAAACGAGATCAAATGGAAAAATCAGCTAGTTGGTGGAGTAAATATTATGCATCAAAAGCTAAACTTGTATGTTTATTTTTTTAAATTTCTCATATATTTATTTATTTATTTTTTCATTGTCATAGAGATTAGAAAAAAAAACAAAACACGATTTAAATGAAGAACTTCAACTTAGTTATAATGTTTATGCTGATTTTTTTGAAGATGAATCAAGTTAGTAGGATGTTTTTTCCAATTTTTCTTTCGATAAAATACTTTTTTTCTTTCTTTTAGAAGTTGTTACTAACCAAGCTTTGATACTTTTGAATAAAGCTAAAAAAGCCTTTATAAATCTTGGAAAATTTGGTAAAAAAGTCGAACGTTTTGCTGTTAATGAATTCGCACATCTTGCAGATTATTCAAAAGTAATATAATCATTTTTTGTTGATTTTTTTTTGTCTTTAAAATTTAATTTTTTCTTGTTTTAGATCAAATCATTTATTGAAGAAAGTTTAGATATTATCGAAATTGATCATCTTAAAGAATTAACATTATTACAAACATTTGATGTAAGAAACAATAAATAAGAAAGAAAAATTTCTTAGAATAGAAGCCCATCAGATAGCATTTCTTTAGAGATACAACAGATCTAAGGAATATTGAGACAAATTTTTTTTTTTGTTCCATTTATTAAATCTACTCGAACACGTTGATACAACCTTTGAAAACTTTAGAACAGACTCATATTTTATCTAAGAAAGAGTCATAATCAACAAGTAGTCTTCTGTCTCATATAGAAATGTGTGGAATTGAGACTATGCATGTACCAAACCCGAGTAGGTCGGGCTCGGTACAAATCTAATTGGATCTATGTGAAAAATTGAGAACAAAATTGAAGAGAGATGATTCTAAAAAGTGCTTGTCGTCGACTAAATAAATAAAAACAAAAAGGGTATTGAAGAATTATTTTAGATGTGATACGAATAAATTCTCGAATAGTTTTCTCAGAACTGAGACCGAGATTGGAATCAAATAAACTTAGTCCTACACATGTCTAGTCTCATATGCATTTTTATCTTCATCGTTGTTACCGTTGTAATTTCCTTAATATATTGCTGAGAAATATGTTTATACAATATTATTTGTATTTATTTTCAATAGATTATTGAAACAGAATTAGAAAATATTAACCATTATGGAGGATTTAATGATTGTCTTGAGAAATTTCCTTTGTAAGTTGTATTAAAATTAAAAACAAAAGAAATATTTTGTATTTAATTTACTCTATTTAGATATAAAGGAAAAGGTACAAATCGTTCCGATGAAAAAGGAGATGAAAGTCGTGTTTATGCCAAATTTAAGGTCAGTTAATTTTTATTTTCTTTTGTTTATTCATTGTTTTGTTTTTATTCAGGGAAAACTTCGTATTCATGAAATCACATTAGATGAGCGTCGTAGTACTTTAGGGAATATTAGTAGCAGTCGTCGAATGTCTATGTATCCAGTTTTATTCACTGCTAAAAGAGAATCAGACACAGAGCAAAGACGCGATTCACATATTCATACAAATCAAGAAATGTCTCAACTTGATTTAAATCATCATCCAATTACACTTAAATGTCGATTGTATATTATTAAAGCATTATTATTTCGTAGTTGGGATGCATCAGGTAAAGCTGATCCATATATTAAAATATTATTAGATAGAGAAGTTATTATCGATGATGTTAAAGGAAGACTTTATAATACATTAGAACCTGTTTTTGGAAGGTAAGAAATAGATCAATGAAAAAAAAAATTTCATATTAAATTTATTTAAAATAATTTAAATAGATGTTTTGAGTTTGAACTTACAATTCCTCAACAATCATTATTACGTATTCAACTTTGGGATTGGGATCTAACAAATTTCGATGATAAAATTGCTGAAACGTCTATTGATATTGAAAATCGTTGGTTTTCATGTCATAGAGCAACATGTGGTTTACAAAAAAGATACGATAGGTTAATTCATCAAAAACAAAAAAAAAACTATTTTGTTTTTAATAAATATCTTTTGTATTTAGTGCTGGTTATAATGTTTGGCGTGATACAAAACCACCTGTTGTTATTTTACATAGTCTATGTCAAACAGTAAAATTAGATTTACCAGTTTATGCAACAGATTTTTGTTCATTAACTATTGGTGACGTACGTTTTGATTGTGATCCAGAATGTATTGAATTTATAAAGAATACTAAATCGAATGATTTATTACATCGTAAAGTTTACCATGAATCACCAAATGAATATTTGCGACAAAATACAGCATTAGCTGCACTTCATGCATGGGGGAAAAAAATAAATCAAGTAAGGATATTTTTTTTTAATAATTTTTACAAAAAAAAGAATAATTTTTAATTGTAATCAAAATAGAAAGGTGCTTTAGTATCTGAACATATTGAATGTCGATCACTTGTTGATCCATTACGTCCCGATATTGAACAAGGCAAATTGGAGATGTGGTTAGATATATTTCCAATGTCTCGACCACCATCTAGTACACCAGTTAATATAACACCACTAAAACCAATGCCTTATCAATTACGTGTAACTATTTGGAATACATCAAATGTTGAATTAAATGATGAAAATTTCATAACAGGAGAAAAAACATCGGATATTTATGTAAAAGCATGGATTTTAGGAGAACAAGATGATGGACAACAAACTGATATTCATTATCGGTCAGTGTTAAAACGAAAAAAAACAAAACAAAACACAAATTTATTTAAATAAAAAATTATTTTATTCTAATAGATCATTAACAGGCGAAGGAAATTTTAATTGGCGATTTGTATTTAATTTTAATTATATAGATATAGAAGAAAAAATTGTTCATGAAAAAAAAGAATCAGTTTTTCAAATTGGAAATACAATAAAAAAACTTCCACCTCGAATTGTTATTCGTGTTTATGATGCTGATCTTTTTGTAGCTGATGATTTTCTTGGTTTGTTTTAATTATTTCTAAATAGAAAATAAATTTGAATTTTGTTTCTTTTTTTTTTTTAAGGTGAATGTGTTCTTAATTTAACACATTTACCAATAGGTGCAAAAATAGCGAAAAAATGTAAATCTGATATATTACTTAATTCAAAACATCGAGCATTAAATTTATTTGTACACAAACGTGTTGCTGGTAAAATTTTATTTTATTTTATTTTTTTTTTACAAAATAAATTTCAATTATTAATTTATTAAGGTTGGTGGCCAATGATTGCTCCAAGAAAATCTGAAGAAATTCGTGACACAGCTCTATTAGGAGTATGGGAAAATAAAATAAAATAAAATAAATTAAATTCGATTCCGTTTCTTTTTTTTTTTTAATTTTTGAATAGGGTAAAGTTGAAGCAGAATTTTGTCTGCTTAGAGCTGAAGAAGCTGAAAAAAATCCTGTTGGTATAGGACGTGAAGCACCACAAGCACTTGATGAACCAAAGTTTGTTTTATTGAATTAATTGATTTGAAAAATAAATTTCATTTTGTTTTGGTTTTAAGTCGTCCAAAAACTTCATTTCTATGGTTTACATCTCCATGGAAAACATTTCGATATGTTATTTGGCGTAATTTTAGATGGACAATACTTATTGCTGTCGTTATATTTATTTTGGTTATCTTTGTCTTAATTGCTTTGTGGACACTACCGGCAGAATTGGTTAAAATAACATTAAATACAATTTTTAGAACAAATACCGGCTAAAAACAAAAGACAATTTTTGATTAAATAAATAAAAATTTTGTTTTTTCTTTGTAATATTTAACATTCAATAAATATTATTTATCTCATACTGAAGTTTTTGATTTTTATTGAAAGTAGACAAATAAAGCAGAAGAAAAATTTGATGTTGATGTAATTGCGTAAAAGAAAAGAAATTACATTATATAAAAGGTTATGTTATATATATGCTTTGGAGAAGAAATTTCTTACTAATTTATTTATTTTTTAAGTAGACAATAATTATTATATTTTAGATGGATTCTTCTGATGAATTTCTCTCATTTTTAAATGATCCTAATTATCTTGCAAATCTTCTTAAAGAAAAATCAAATTTAATAATAGACGATTCGATATATTTTCATATTGCAAATTATTTTCTTGGTCAAAAAATATCTGTTGAAGGACTTTCTGTTCAACGAAATTTATATGGTAGACAACGATCATCATTATTAAATCAATGTGAAATTGATTTATTAATATTAAATATAAAAGAATGTCTTAATTCAAATTCTAAAGAATTAACTAAAATATTTCTTCAATATTTACATAATATAAATCGTTTATTACCAAATAATTTTCGTGATATTGCTTATTTATGTGCATTAATTCTTTTACCATATAATAATAAAAATGTTATTGCATGTATTCTATGTGCATATCTTGAAATGAATACTTTAAATAATTTACGATATGATTTAATTATTAATGATTTATATAAAAATGAAGATGAACAAGAAGATAATCCATGGATTGATAAATTAACAAAATTAATTATTGAAAATGATAATCAATGGTTAAGAAAATTTTATTTAGAAAAAATCTATACAAAAGAATTTTTACATGCTATTGATATACATGATAAAGAGAATATTTTTAATATTGAACCAATTAAACAAAATTCCGAAGATTTATCTTCAACAATAATTGAAAAAATCGAGTGAGTATATGAATCGATCATTCAAAATAAAAATTACACAGATGATTGAAAGAAAATATAATCTATAGTTATAGCTATAGTAAAAAGAAAGAAGAGATCTATTTTATATGATTTATCAATTATCGAACAAGAAGTAAAATACGAATGTTCATATGAAATGAATATCTATTATGTCCAACATAGTTTGATTTCCTGTCGAGTTAAATTTTACCTAAAATGTTATTAGGATTAAGTAGAATTACATTAAGAAATATTTAAAAAATGTAATAATTGCAAAATCATTCTGATTATGAATAGAGAATGATTAGTGCATGATTAAGATTCAATTGTGTTTCTTGTGAACGTGGATGTGTGAATCTTATTTCCTCCTGCATTACATTCATTCGCACCCTTCCTGGTTTGTCTTTTGTTGTGGCAAAAAAAAAAGAGATTAACTGATTTATCGAGAACTTTTTTTTTTTTAGTTATCTTTCATTTGTTCTTTTTCTAATAAATAAATTTGATTCAATTTAAATTGATCATCTTTTTCTATCAAGAATAATAAACATTTTTATCAAACTTTGATAATCTTTTTATTTATTTTTTTAGTTTAAATCAAGTATCAACTTTAGATGATTTACACTCAAAATTATCATTCTATGTAATAAATTATTATCCTAATAATTCAATAAATGAATTATCTTTATTTAATTTACTTTCATCATCAAATAATTATCCAAATGATCTTCATATATTATTTTCTTGTTCATTAATATCAATTATAAATCGAAATAATTATTCTATATTAAGTCTACGTTTATTTCGTCGTTTAATTCTTTTAATAAATAATTATTATATAAATCAACAAGATTTATTAGATGATAATCGTTATCGTTTAATAATTGTTTTTCTTGTTTCAAAATTAATTTGTGAAGTTCATCGACGTCGTTCAATATCTGAACATGAATGGTATCGTTTATATATTGATATACCAAAAGAATATCCATTACCAACATTTGATTTATTTGCTGATCTTATTTGTTTATTAGCAACATTATGTTATAATCATATTGATTGTCAAAATCAAGTTCGACAAACATCTGGTACAATTGAATCAATTCTTTCAATGACACAAATTGATCTTAATCAACCAAAAGCTCAAGCATGTGTTTCTTGGTTAATTAAATGTTTAACTGAAAATAATGAAGATAATAGAAATTATATTAAACAAATAAAATAAAGAAAAAAGAATTTTATTTATTATTTGTTTTGTTTTCTTTTTGTTTTAGATGAATAGAAAAATTCAAAAACTTGATGAAACAGTTGTTAATCGTATAGCTGCTGGAGAAATTGTTGTACGACCATGTGCAGCAATAAAAGAACTTGTAGAAAATAGTTTAGATGCTGGTGCACATACAATACAAATTCATGTTAAACAAGGAGGTTTAAAATCAATTGAAATTCGAGATGATGGATGTGGAATAAGTAAAATTGATTTACCACTTGTATGTCAACGTTTTGCAACATCAAAATTAAAAAATTTTGATGATTTATATCATTTAAATACATATGGTTTTCGTGGTGAAGCTTTAGCTTCATTAAGTTATGCTGGACATGTTAAAATTATTAGTAAAATACCTGAAAGTCCATGTGCTTATATTTGTGAATATGAAGATGAAAAAATTCGACCATCAACATCAATAAAACCTTGTGCAGGTTAGAAAATGTATTAAAAAACAAAAACAAAAAAAACTTTTTCTATATACTTTCTGATTAAGTCAATTTTGATTTATTTTCATTTAAAATCTTTAACTTCTAAATTTATTATTTAGAGTTACTTATAAAACTACTAAACTTTATGTTCACTTTATTGTAAATTTCGTTTTTTATGAGTTTGACATATTGAATCATAAATTATCCATTTTAAAATCAATATTGATGAACACAATTCATATTAAATAAGACAAAGAATCCTTTGAACATATCGGATTGTATCATAAGATCTGTTCAAACAGTTATGAACGTGAAACTGAACTCTTCGAAAAATTTTATTCTGTTTTATGAAAAATATTTTAGTAATAGAACAAAACTGTTCGGATAGCTCAGTTTCAGGAATTATTTGAACAGCTTGTATAGTGTAAAGAAATAAATCAAAGCTAAATAACATCTTTTAATTATACAAATGAGGATAGAAATAGAAGAATATTCAAGTGAAAAATAATTAAATCATAAATAAATTCGTTTTTTTTCTTAACTAGGTACAAATGGTACATTAATCATAATTGAAGATCTTTTCTATAATAATCCAATACGTTTAAAAATGATGAAATCCGCTTCTGAAGAATATACAAAAATGGTTGATTGTGTAATGAAAATGGCATTACGTAATACTCATGTTTCTTTTTCACTTAAACGTGATACACAAATTGAATCTGATGTTCATACAAATGGAAAAGAAACAACAACTATTTTACAAAATATGAAAATGTTATATGGAGCTGATATGACTAAAGATATGTATGAAACAATAATTAATACTGATGATACACCTTATAAATTTCAATGTAAAGCTTATTTTACTGGAACACAATATTCTGTTAGTTTGGATGGTTTTTTTTTTTTTATTTTTCTTTAAAATAAAAGAAATCAAATTGAAAATAAATATTATTTTTATCTTCTTTTTAGTGTTCATCAAAAACTTCTTCAAATTCTATGACATTCATACTTTTTATAAATGGACGTTTAGTTGATTGTCAACCATTAAAAAAATCAATTCAACAAATGTATGCTGTTTTAGTTAATAAACAAACATCACCATTTGTATATATTGATTTAATAATGGATCCAACAACATTAGATGTTAATATACATCCAAGTAAAAATGAAGTCAGATTTTTACATGCTGATCCAATTATTGTTACTATTGTACAAGCTATTGAACGTATTATTGTCGAAAAATCAGCAAAACAAACAACAACTACAACACAATTGACATTTCATATGGTTTGTTTATTTTTTTGTTAGTCAAGATACTTGTTATAGCCTATAATCAAATATGTTCATGATAATATTCTGTAATATTGAATTCGTATAAAAAAAAATCGAATTTATGTCGTACACTCGATTAAAATAGCAGCCAGTAATGATTGTTAGCTGATGCAGTCTTGCATTGTCAAGAAATTTCCATACATCTATAAACGAGAAATCTAATATTTATTATTTACTATTGTTGCATATATTCATCATGTTCTTTTTTTTTAATTAATCATATTCAATAAAATTGAATTGTTTCATAAGTATAGAATATAGTACTGTACGGATACAATTTTTCGTACCATACTGTGACACATTATTGGTAGTTTAACAGAATGCCCAATCAAATATATGTTAAAAAAGAAGTCCATGTCTCCACAAGCTGTTACTTTTCATACCTGTGTTCGACTCGTGGATTGCAGTACTCTAGTATAGAATTGAATACTTTATCTAAAATGATTCAGACAATAAAAGTTTTTCGAAAAATGTATTGATTCTATGTAGATATGTATAGTTTCAAAATTGAAAAATATGATCTAAATAAGATTGTATTTTTTTTTTTGTCAGACACCAACTTCAATGGCTTTAGTACCTCCAACTCCAAAAAATTCTGTTGAAACAGATACTACATCAAAAAAGATATCATCTGATACAACAAATTCAACAATAAAAAAAGTAAATGTAAATATTGATCCATCTCGTACTGTTCGTACATCTAGTCGTGATCAAAAACTTGATAAACATCGTTATCATAATAATTCAATATCAATTCCAAAGAAATCAACAATTTCTTCAACAACAATATCACCATTAGCTTCAATTGTTTTTCCACGTAATATTAAATTAACATCAATTGAAATATTACGTCAATCAATAAATGATGAATGTGATATAGATTTATTAAATATAATACGTAATTTTGTTTATGTTGGAACAATTGATGGACAATCATCACTTATTCAACATGATACACAATTATATTTAGTTCATACAAGACATTTATCACAAGAATTATTTTATCAATTATGTATTTATCATTTTGGTAATATGGGAACTATTCGATTTGAACATGAATCACCTTTAATTGAAGTTATTTAAATTAATGTCTTTTTTTTTATTGAAAAAAAAAAAAATATTTTGTTTTTGTTTTCTTAGGAACTTATTCGTCTTGAAACAGATGATGAAGAAATAATTGAATATGTAGTTGATCTTTTAAAAGAACGTCGTGAAATGCTTGAAGATTATTTTTCACTTCGTATATCATCAACAGATCCAATACGTTTAGAAACTCTTCCTATTTTACTTGATACATATGTACCTAATTTTGATTATTTACCACAATATATTCTTCGTTTATCTAAAGAAATTAATTGGACAGATGAACGTGAATGTTTTCGTACATTTGCTGATGAAATATCAAAATTTTATTCTTATAGAATGCATATTTATTCAAAAGAAGATGGAGATACAGAAGAAAAACAACATTGGGCTATTGAACATTTACTTTATCATGCATTTAAAACAATGCTTGTTCCATCAAAACATTTACGACAAGCGTTTATTAAATTAACTGAAGTACAACAATTATATAAAGTGTTTGAACGATGTTAATAGGATACTTTTTTTTTTTTTATTTTCGATATGAACAAAAGAATGAGACAAAAAAAACACCAGTTTGAATAATTGTCATTTTATATGTTGATGTACTATTAAATATAATTTTTGTTATTAAAAACTTTTATTTTATGCCAGATTTCAATAGAAAAAGAATAAAAATTTCGAAAGAATCAAATGACAATATGATTTAATGCATATTTTAGTAGTGTTCAGAGTAAACATAACTATTTGATTGACTAAAAATTAATGATTAAAAACAATCGAATCGATGTGTAAAATTATTGATTGTTTTGAATTAAATATAAATTAAAATTAAAAAAAAAATAATATTTTATAAAATGAATAGAATTTTAAATTGATTCTTTCAATAATTTCCTTACTGTTGAAACAATGAGTTAACGATATCGTCGACCAATGCAATTCAAATCAAGTAGTCTTGATAACATATAAGTATACGTGATATTCTTGACATTTTTTTCTTTATCAAAGAATAAGCTGTTCGATGTTAGATTAAAATAATAAGTTAAAAAAATGACAACGTTGATAGTAGCAAATGATGAAAAAGAAGATATTATCTTTCCTTTACTTAAAACAACAACACCTGTTTATAATGATAGTATTATTCTGGAATCTACACTAATAGATTCAAATAATTATCAACAAAATGATTTAATTGACAATAATAAAGAAAAAGAAAAATCAATTGAAATATCATTTAATACAAATGAATTTGAATTAATAACAATTTCATTTTGTAATATTAATTATATTATTGGTAATAATAGAATTATAAATAAATTATCTACTCGATTTCAAACAAAAACATTTCAATTTTGGAAACCAATACCAAGTAAACAAATTCTTACTAATGTTTCAGGAATTTTTACTCCTGGAATGAATGCTATATTAGGTATGATACAGTTTTTTTATTTTTATTAAGTTTATGTTTACAAACGAATCGATTAGATTCTGAATAAAATTTTTCTATATATTCAATGATAGGACCGACAGGTTGTGGAAAATCAACTCTACTTGATATTCTTGCAGATCGAAAGGATAGTCATGGATTATCAGGAAATGTTCTTGTATCAGGACAACCTCGTCCTTCTTATTTTAAATATATTATTGGTTATGTTATACAAGATGGTAGGAATTCTTTATATTCTTATTATTTTTTGTCTTTCTTTTATTATTAAAGATATCCTCAGTGGAACATTAACTGTTCGAGAAAATCTTCTTTTTTCTGCAAATATTCGTTTACCACGTTCAATAAAAATGAATAAACGAATTGAACGTGTCAATCAAATTATTCGTGATTTAGATCTTGAATCATGTGCTGATACTCTTATTGGAACTGATTTTGTAAGAGGTATATCAGGTGGAGAGAAAAAGAGAACAAGTATCGGAATGGAATTAGTTCTTTCACCTAATCTTCTTTTCTTAGATGAACCAACTACAGGTAAATGATTTGATTTATTTCATACTTTGACTTTTTCTTTTTTTTTTTTGTATTATTTTTAAATAGGACTTGATGCATGTACAGCACAAAATGTAATGAGTTGTTTACATAAATTATCAAGACAAGGAAGTAAGTTATATAAAAATATTTGTATGAATTAGAAAATCTTTTTTGTTTTTGTTAAGGAACAATTATTTTTTCAATTCATCAACCTCGTTATTCTATATTTAAATTATTTGATCGAGTTCTTTTTCTTTCCGGTGGTCATAATATTTATTTAGGTCCATCTATTGATGTTTTATCTTATTTTGCTTCACATGGTTATAATTGTGAAGAACATAATAATCCAGCAGATTTTGTTCTTGATCTACTTATTGAATCAAATAATACTTGTTCAACAAAACTTCAAACAGCTTATCTTCATTCAAATATGCATTTAAATATTTGTCAAATAATAAGAAATGATATGAATAAAAATGAAAATAAAGATAATTCTTTATTAAAATATAATACATTTCGAACATATTCACATGAATTTTATTATGTTGCACAACGAACATTATGCAATGTTTTACGAAATCCATCATTATTTGCATCACAAATAATTAGTGTTATTATATATGGTTTATTTACAGGTTTAATATTTAATAAATTAGAAACAACAGTTGAAATAGGTGCATATAATCGTTTTGGTGCAATTTTTTTTATTATTTCTTGTCAAGTACTTGGTGCAGTTAATGCATTAGAACCATTAATCAAAGAACGAGCACTTTTTATTCATGTAAAACAAAAAAAAAAATTTTTTTTTGTTTTTTTAATATTTTAATCAAAATAATAATTCTAGGAAAATGTTAGTGGTTATTATCGAATATCAAGTTTTTATCTTGCAAAATTAATTATTGATCTTCCATTAGTACATATTATTCCTTCTATTATTTATATAATAATTACTTTTTTCTTAACGGGTCTTCGTCAATCAATTGAAAATTTTATTATTTTTTTTATAACAAATCTTATGGCAAAAATATTTGGTTCATCAATGTGTTATTTTATTGCTGCTAGTACTTCAACATTTGGTTAAATTTTATTATTTTAATAAAGATATTTTTTAGTATTTTATTTGTTTTTTTTTTTTTGAATATTTTTAGGTATTGCTCTTGTTATGGTTATATGTTGTTATGTAACAATGATGCTTTTTAGTGGATTTCTTATTAATATAGCAAGTATTGTTAATTTTCTTCGATGGATTCAATGGATAAGTGTTTTTCGTTATGCATCAAATGTATTAGCAATAAATGAATTTCGAAATTTAACATTATGTTCACCATTTGATATAGATGTATGTTCAATGAAAGGTGAAGATATTTTATCACATCGTCATATATCATATGCAACAAATTGGGATATATGGAAAAATATTTTAGCTTTATCATTAATATCTCTAATATTTTTTATTATGGCTTATATTCAATTGTTACGTATTAAAAAATTTAAATAGTAGCATTCAATAATTTGTTTTTTTATTTTTCTTCAATTCGTATATGATTTTTTGTTTTTGGAATTCATTCTAAGATGTTTCTTGATCGAAATGAAAGAAGAAAAAAAACATGTTTTACTAAAATAGATGTATGATGATAATTTTTTATTTTCAAAAAAGAAATGAAATGAAAATCAGACGTGCCAAAAGTTCGAATAAATACAACATCAATAGTTGTCTGATAAGCTTAGGCTATTTATTTAAGATTGTTATAGTTTTTGTTCGATAAAACTTCATCTATAAACGTTCTTTAATATTATCGATTCTCATTTTTTTCAATGAAAATGAAGATCGTTTCATTTAAAAAAAAAAACATTCTCTTTGTTGTTATTATGTCCCAACATTTGTAATAGAATTTTATCAACAAGAAAAAAGCGAAAATTCTGTACTCTAAGGATATGTGTCAAACCTATTCTCTACAACTTTTTATTTATTTCAATTCTACTATCAACATATGTCATGAGTATATTAGTTCGAATTCATTTTAATATAAGTCTAAATCATTTGAACTTCTTGAAATCTATCCAGATTTATTTTTTTGTTGAAAATTTCGAGATATCCTTTATAAATACTATCATATGTTTATCTTCAGATAATGTTTTTTGACTGTTGTACTTTAGTGTCATAAAATGAAAATGATTAAGCGATAGATAATGAAATGTAGAAAATTTAATAAGAAATATCTGCTGTGAATATTAATTTTTATTTATTAAAGAGAATAAAAGTATAGATAATATTCCTCGTAAAATAAATACTTAGACATTATGTAAAATGTCGAATAATATTTTGAATAAATAAAAATTATTAATATTGAATCAAGAGAAAATCGATACAATTCTTAAACAGTTTCAAAAAAAAACGTCTCGAAAACTTTGGATACAATGCTAAATCGTCTTTTTTAAATCTATGCTGTGCCCAAAGTAGTACTTAACGGTCGTACATGGATTGAAGAACGTCAATATTTGAATGCAAAAAATATATTTGTCCTGTCTGTATGTCTAAACTATTGTGTTCTTGATTTAAATAAGCATTAATCTTTGGAGAACGTCCAGTGGACCTTAATGGAAATTCTATTGTATATAAATCTCGTGTGAAACAATAAGAAAATGATGAATTCTATCAATATGATTAATAAAAATTATAAAACTATTGCAATTGTCTTTTTCAATGAACTTTAATAAATCTGAAAAAGTAAATGTTGAAAATCATTTGCGAAAGAACCTACCAATAATAGTATTCTGGTAAATTTTAAATGTATTGTCATATTAATAAACAAAAAAAAACAAAATACTCATGAAATCATTTAGTAAATGGATATTTTCCAACAAATGTGTATTTATTAGAATTCTTATACTTTCTAAGGAAAACATGTAGGTGAATACTTGACAGAATGAGAAGTTTACAATAGAGAACAGAACAACAACATTTTTTTTTTCTTAAACAACAAGTCAAAGTTCTTTATTCTGCTTTATTTTTCAACATAAGACGCACATCGAAAAGTGTCACCCTGTACGAAGAAAAGAAAACAAATTCTTGTTGATATTCTTATCATTTTACTTTAAAGATAGTTAACATTAACTGGATTATTACTACATAGAATTATTCTAAGATTAGTAATTGTGAAGAATTTCCAAAAAAACAAAATCATCATCTGAGGTGATCCAACTATATCTATGGCAAATCAAAGTGAAATTACACTTGCTTGGCTCGATGCAAACATAGACAATGAAGAAAATAAAATAACCTACAATAAACTATGTGAAGAGTTTGGCGATTGTATGCAATTTTTGAATCAATCTGATTTTAGCAGATTTCGTGGACGTATCATGCATAGTTCAAGACGACTTATTCTCATTGTTAGTGGAAAAATAGGTGAAAATTTAGTACCTGATATACACGAAAAGTCAAATATTTTATCGATCTATGTCTATTGTTCATGGAAAGAAAAACATGAAGAATGGTCTCAAGGATATTCGAAAGTAGGATATCATTTAGAATATTTTTCTTTTCTTAGATTAACATTGTTAATATAGGTCAAGGTTGTTACTAAAGTAGATGATCTTATTTCTAATATTAAATCAGATTATAATTCTTATGGAAATTAATTGGAAATTTTCTAACCAACAACAAACATATTCAATAGTCATTCTGTTTCAATGACGATGTATTTTAGACTTGTAATACATAAATCAAGTTCTATGAACATTAATAAAATTCAATTTATAGTCAAATATATCTAATAAACAAGAATTTCTTAAATTATCTCAGCAAAAGTTTTTTTTTTATAATTAACAGAAATTTAAATAAATATTTTAATATGTAAAACATTATTTTTATTTAATAATATTAATAAAACGATATTTAAAAATAATAAAATATCCTATGTTTTCTTCGATAAGAAATATTAGAAAATGAAAAGATTTTCTACTACAAAATATGTTTATGATTAAAATTATTCGTTGAGAATAGTTTAGAAGAAATAATTAAGACATATTATTGAATTTATATTATTCATTAGTTTTATTCAACAAATTGGTTTCTTGCAATAAATTAGAATTCTAACATGATTATTAAACATCAAACAATTTGGAAAATTATAAAAACATACTTACGAAATAAAAAAAAAAAAGGAAGAAGTCAAACAGTACAGTTACCAATCAGGTTTCCAATGATAGAAAAAAAACTGATAGAAAATAATTATTTAATTAATTCTATTAATATAAATTAAATATATTATCATAAGACTTTTTATCTAAAGGTCAAACAAACTTAATGAACTTAATAGATTGTTATTCGTAAAAAACATAATCTATATCATTGAAATAATTTTATCAAAAGACATCATGATAAAGAATCAATCATAATAAAATTGTTTAAATTAAATCACGTCGTATACATTAATTCGAAGTTACATTGGTTTCTATGCATATTTACAACATTATTGAGATTCTTTATATTCACTGAAGAAATAAATAAAAAACAACATATATCTTGAAATAGTAAGATAAATTCAATAGACTCCATTGAGATTACAATTCAAGTTTAAGTAATATGATTTCAATAGCAATCAAGAGATTCTTACGTTAGTTATTTAAACATAAACGAAATGATATACAATGAAAATATATGATTCTGCAAGAAAAGTTTCATTGGAATGACTGAAAAAGAATTTAAAAAAAAAATAAATCGATTGATTTTGAACAATTGTAAATTTTTAGTATTATTAAGTTTTATTTTCTTGCTTTTTATAGATCGACGAAGTAATGATATTGATATTGAAAATGTAGTTATTTTATTATGTTATTAATCTTCATACGAATATTTTTCAGATATAAATTTTAAAAAAAAAAACATCCGTTGAATTGCAGTCATGACGCTTAAAATAAACAAGACAATTTATAGTGAATTAAATTTTCAAAAAGAATAAATTTACCTTCACTTTATATTTTTTTCTTTTTCTTTTTCAATAAAAAAAAAACATTGATTATTTACATTTTTTATTTATTCACAATAGTGTTTGTACTTTTTTCTGGCTTAATTCAAAAACGGGATACCTTTTTTCGAATTCAATCACTTTGTTATTTATGTGATTATTCATTATCTGTACGAAATAAGATTGCATCTAATCAATCTTATTATTTATTCGTTGTTTTTGTAGACAAATTGCTTTCAATGTCCTATACCAAGAAAACTTGTTTTGCATTTATTCAATATGAATGCAAAGAGTTTAATTTTCTTCTTTTATTTATTTTGATTGTCAACTGAAAACAAAAAAAGAAATTCTATCATAATAATTATTATTCGGTATTGCTTGAAAGTGTAAAGAAAGTCTAGATGATGATTTCATTTTTATGTCTTTACATTTTTTTTTTCAAATGATTATTTAGATATATTGTTCGATAGGAATTATTTATTGAATGAGAAGTCTAAAATGGAAGATAGACTATCAATGAAAAATTAAACTTTCTCATGGTACCAGCAATCGTACCGATATCAAGAATTGTGTTGTACGAATGATTAGAGGTCTATCATTATCCTTATGCTACCCTGTACAGTAAGGTAATCTTGCGGATCTCTAACGAAGAATATTGACACGAAATGCTTTCCTTTATATCATAAAATTATGCGGTAAGGAATTTGTATTTTCTGTTTCACAGCTTATTGCTACAGTATCAGAAATAGTGCAAAATGCTTTAGCCATCACATTTTAATAAACTTTTCATATTTATTTATAAACAGAATAGTCTCTTTTAGCAATTCTCGGAACTGGACGGCATAATTATGTTCTATTTTAATGAACTCTGACAGATAAAAAAACGAAAATTAACAGTTATTCTGTAGTAGAAACGTTAAACCTCGTTTAGTAAGTAATTAACTCATGTAGAATAATTTGAGGAAATTATCTAATTAAAGCAAAAAAAAATACGTTACTTTCTATTCATATGCGTTGAGAATTCGTTCATCTGCGAGTTATGACATTTTCCCCAACGACAATTAATGAAGATATAGTGTCTAAAATATGAAAACAACCCATGAAATCCTTTTATATCAGTTAAACTGTGATAAAAACATCTATAAGATATTTATTCATCTAAATAAGACATGTTTTTATTGTAATACTTTGCAATTTTTTAGATTCAGCACAATCCAAGATGTTCATTTATATGCAAATCATACTCATAAATAAATTGTAAAGTAGAAGTTTTAGGAAAAAATTGAATGAATTAGTATTCTAACGCAAGCTTTTTGAAAAAAAAAAACGTTATTTCTATCTTTAAATACTTTGTTTTTATATTTTACTTAATCGATAATATTATAATTTGATCGCATTCATATCATTAACTGTTTATATTTACATATGATACATCGATACTAATATTTTTTCATTATTATTATATAATATCGATCATAGTTTAAGTAGTGATCGTTTGATACGATTACTTAACGATAAAGGAGAAATCAACCGTTGGTTTTAAAATAATTAGAATTGTTTTGATACGAATTAATAAATAAGAATACATTATTGCACAGTAGACAATATATTTTATTGTTTAATATAGTAAAAGACAAGATCTTTTATAAATTACATAACACATAAGAGTATTCACTGACCTGTTCCACTAACTAATGATTTGTCTGTATACAATAAATATTTTATTATAACGATTTATTTAGATTTGCTTGTTTTTCTTATATTGTGCGTACTTGTTTTTTATCAACTATTTTTAATAATGAGAAACTTAGATTATAGTAAGTCTGATGATATACAAAGAGCATTTGGAATTTTTCAAAAACTATTTTGTTCATTTTATTTCAATTTTGATTATTTGTCATGTGTTACATTCCAATTTGAATCTATGGGAAAATTTTATCATATTGAATATATCATTGGAGTATCGATTCAATATTCAAATACTTTGATGACTATGAAATTATCTAATGGATTATTTAAAATACTCAAAGCTTATTTGAAAAAATTGTTTTCTCTATTCATCTAAATATCAATGACGAAATGATTCGAATTGATTATGTAGCAAAGGTAGTATTTCGGATGTGTAACAACTATTCCGCCTTAACATTTGAACCATCTACTGGCATCAAATAAGTAACTAATGATTATAAGTTTGTTATTTATTTTCAAAGATATTCAACGATTAAGATTGAATTTGTTAGAATATTTCATATATTTACTTTGTTGTCTTTGCATTATTTATAGAACAATATTCTAATTTCATTCTTGATTAGGGTTCAACAAAAATTATCTTCGATAGTTTATTTCTGATTTCTTCAATACGTTGATAGTAAAAGTCCTTTCAACATTCTTTTAATCGTTTTGAAAAAGTATTCTCGAAATAAAGATCGTTCAATGAATAATATAGTTCGAGATCAAGTGTTCGAAGTGTTATTTTCTGTTAGTTTTGCTATTATATTCATGTTAAGAATACAAGTAGAATATCTTAAATTGCAGTATATTAATGACAATATCATTTCACATAAACTTAAAGAATACGAAGATATATTTTTACTGTAAAGAGTTTCAAATTAGACAAAAAGAAAAAAAAAGTCATAATGCAAGATTACATAACAAAAATGTCAAACATGTAGAACACAAAAAATAAAGAAAAATAGTCAAAAAATTTTAAATTTGTTTGTGTTGAAAGTAATCTATATCAGGTTTTAAAATAACTTTGATACAATCATTTTTTTGTTCATCAAATAATTGATATCCAAGAAGAGCTTCTTCTAATGGCAAGATATGTGTTATAATTTTAGTTAAATCAATATGTCCATCCAAAATATATTTTAATAATAATTTCCAATATTTTTGTACACATACAACACCTGCACGAAATGTAATACCTTTATCAAACAATGCACCAATTGGAAAATGATTAGTAAGACCATAATAATCACCAATAACGCTAATATTACCAAATTTCTTAACTAAATAAATAGCTTCTGTAATTGCAGATGTTGCATCTGTTTCTAATCTTAATAAACGCTCAATTTTATGTATTGTCTCTTTTGCATATCGAAAACCTGTTGCATCAATACATACATCTGGACCATCTTTACAAATTTCTAACATAGTTGGAATAACCAATTGTTCATCATAGTTAATAGTTTCAGCACCTAATTCACGTGCTTTTTCTAAACGTTTAGGTATATGATCGATGGCAATAATTCTTTTGACACCTCGATGTTTAGCCCACATAATAACAATAAGTCCTACAGGACCACAACCCCATAATGCCACAGTTTGTCCTTCTTTGACTTCTCCTAATTCCATAGCATGCCAAGCAGTACATGCAATATCGGACAACATGACAACTTGTTCGTCAGTAACACTATCAGGAACAGGAAGTAAATTAATGTCAGCAAATGGAACACGTGTAAATTGTGCTTGACTACCTTGCCAACCACCTGTTAAATGAGAATATCCAAAAAAACCAGCACATCGATGACCAATAAATGCTTCCATTTCTTTGCTTGGATTAGTATTGTCACAAGCACTATATTGTTCTTTCTTGCAATATTCACAGTAACCACAGGCAATAACTGCACTTACGACAACACGTTGACCTATTTTAATATCTTTAACATCTGTTCCAATATCTTCGACAATACCCATAAATTCATGACCTAGAACATCACCTGAATGCATACCACTGAATTCTTCATGGTATAAATGTAAATCGGAACCACAAATTGCAACACTCGTAACTCTAATAATAGCATCTTTTGAATCTGTGATCAATGGTTTTTGCATATCTTCAACAGATAAATTTTTCTTGCCTCGCCAAGCAATTACTTTCATAGTATTATTAGGATCTCTTTTCGTGTCTGATGTAACTGCAAGAGGAAGATCTTCTATTTTCTTTGTTTCTGGTAATAATGGTCTGAGTATTTTTCCAAATGTTTCTGCCATTTGAATAATATTTTAGTTTTTTATGCGAGTATTGTGTAATAAATCTAGAATCATAAAAATAATCACGATTATTACTAATAGTGATACAATACTTTTTATTTTGTATTATATTGGATTGGACAAAAAAAAAGTACTTTTTTCAGACATTGTAGCACATTGCTTTCTATACTATAGTTTATAAGTTGATTTATTTGTATTATGAATCTCTTTTTATGTTACAAATGCGCTTAATTTGAAATTCATGTGAATTGAGAAATTAGTCAAACAAACAAAGAAAAAAAATATGAAACTAAATTTTAAAACGTAAAGAACTTCTTCCATCATTCTAAGTCTTATAGAACTATATCACTCAAAATTGTTCTATCAATCAACAAAAACTCAAGCACAAATACTAAAAATGTGTAGATTTACCTAGCACTCGATAAAAGGTACTTAAAGTACAATTTGACATAAGTATATGACGATAAGTAAATGACTTATTCGAAAGTAATAAATAATTGAATTGCTTTTTATACCTTCAATTTTCAAAGAAGAAATATACAACAATCGATAGTAAAAGCTCTTCTTCTTCTCATCAATAAATGAATAAAAGTAGTAGCTATATACATTTATTTTATATTGAGAATACAAAAAATTCTTTTCACCTGACATGTAAAGGCACGTGTAGCCAACACGTTTCATCGTATATGCACTCTCTTCATACTCTAGTCAACGACATCTGTTCGGTATACTTTTTTCTCCTTGTACTGTCTATTGTTTTCAATCAATCGAGTGAATATATCAGATTCTTCTTGTTTTTGTATACTGGGTTTTTTTTCTTCTTTTTATCATTAATGCCATGCTATACATGGATAACTCATGTCTAAGTTCTTTTTGCGTCGCTTTGCTATTTTGTGACAAATTTAATTATTAATATAAAGAATAAATTAAAATGCTTTGATGTCATTCAAAAAAAGATTTAGCAAAAATATGAATTGGTGTGAAGTTTATGAAAGGAAAAAAATCCGATTGAAAACAAAATAAAAATAAAATCTTGTAAAATAATTTGAAAGATATTTGAATTTATTAAAATCTACGGAACTAGTTGCTTTAATAGTCTATATCAAGTCAAATAGAATAAATTTTTGTTTCAATGAAAATTTTTTATCAAGCCTAATTAATATTTGATAGACATTGATAAACTACACTTTTAAGAAATCTATAATGGCATCATCATTATCATTGTACTACTTCGATAAATACAGTGCTTTAAAAACATTGAAATTAGATTATGTATTTCTATTCATTGATGAATGTATCAAGTACAATTTTTTAAAATGTAGATCATTATCAAACTTCTATATAGTGTAGTTTAACGTTTGCATTTTAAATTCATTATCATTTATTCCGCTAAAATATTCCTCTAATGTATCCGTGTCTAACTACTTCATAATATATTTAATGAAGTATACATTTGGTCTTTGTTATATTACTTATAATGACATCATTGAAAAATATAATGACTTGTCGGATAAATTTGACAAAAGCTCTTCATTCAGTTCATATTTGATTTATTATATATTTTGTATCAATTACATTAATCAATTTAAATATCGAGAAATGTTTACTTTTTATTGTTTACACACAAATCACCGAAGTGTTCTCACTGTATGTATTCATTAAATGAATTGAAAAACAAAAAGAACATTCTAGAATTTATAAGAATAAAAGAGATAAGAAAAAAAAGAATTTTTTTCTTTTAAAGAAAATATTGAACAAAATTTTACTTTTTTTTTGTTTTTGAAATATATTCTTAACTTATGAAAAGTTTAAAATAAAGAAATGAATTAATTCAATTTGTTTTTTTTTATAACTATACAAAGAAAAAAAGAAAATTAAATAATAAAATAAATCAATTATGTATCCACTGTCGATAGACCAGTAAGATTTATCCTTAATTGTTCATCAACAATATTTGTCACTGTTGTTGTTATTGTTGTTCCTTTGTATTCTTTTACTAAATCTGTTGATAGTACTGGTATATATCCGGCATTCTTCAAAAATGGTATAATAATTAAACATATAACTGTACTTAAAACAGTAAAAATTGTAAAAAGCCAAAATAATAATCGATCCATAATAATTGCCATTAATTTCCATTCATTAATTATTTCATTTCGATCTTCTTCAAGTTTTTGTTTATTCATTAAATATTTTAAATGTTTTTCAAGTAAATACATATTCGAATTAAATAAACTATAATGTGAATGAGAATTAGTCAAACCTGGTGATGATGATGATGGTAATGTTGATGATGGATGAGATTGTTGAGGAATAAGAACTATTGGAGGTACAACACGTCGAGAACGACAATGATGATGATGATTATGCTGACGATGATGACGTTTAGTAGATAATGATAATGAACGGATATCACCATTTCCTGTTGATAAACTTGTTAAAAATTCTTTGGTTGTTTCTTCTTCATCATTGTGACAATCATCATCATGATTATATTCTTCTTCATTCTGTTGAGATTCTTTTTGATGATTTATCTCTAAAGAAAATATTACAATAAATAAACATGTTTTTTGTTTTCTAGAAATATTCTCAAAATGCTTTCAGAGTATTTTCTTTTCTTACATTTAAAATGTTCAGCAGAAATCAATATTATTTAATATTGGTTATCTTCAAAAAAAAAACACGAACACTCCTAAATCTAGAACTGATACCATCAGTAGATCCAGCATAGCCAAAATATAAGGCTTTTATATGCTAGCCTTAGAAAAAAAACGAAGGGATAGATTTTCTCAACTTGAAATCTTATAATCGAATTTAGCATATGGTTTGTGTGAACATGTCCAATCGATTTCTCTTATCAATTAGTGATGTACAACTTACGCTCATGAGCGGTTTTTCTTGCTGAAATAGGAGAGGAAGATTACCGTTGTATATAAAGTTTGACCAAAGATGTTCGGGGCCAAGGAATCTGAATCTGTAATCGATTTTTCGAAAAATTTTGAGTTTGATTGTTTTCAGACACAATTTTTTTTTCTTGTAAAAAATCAAACCCAAAATTTCAAAAAATCGATTACAGATTCGGATTTCTCGATCCCGAAAATCTTTGGTCAAACTTTACAACAGATCATTGTTTTCAGAAAAAAACCTTTCCCTGATGAAACAAACTTAAAGTCACGAGACAGAAAAATTGCTCATGCTCATATGAGTGTGAGTGATGCGCGCTCACGCTCACCGTGAGTGTGAGCAGTTTGCGCTCACACTTATAAGCTTTAGTGTGAGCTGTACACCCGTAATTGATAACAAAGATCGATTGGAGACGTTCACACGAGCTATTTGCTAAATTCAATTATAGGGCTTCAAATTGAGAAAATAAGTTTCTCTTCTATTTTTTGAAGTTAACATATAGAAGTCTAATATTTTGGGTGTGTTTCTAAATCGAATAGACCTATTCACTAGTAAAAAATATAGATGTTCGTAGTTTGAAAAATAATGTGCATTGGAAATCATTTTCATGTTGAACCATTTTGGGTGCTCGCATTTTTTTACAGATACCCTTCAAAGATTAGACTATATTAATGCATTATGAAATATCAACTTAAAAAACTAAATTGAATCTTTTTCGTCAGTTAATTAATATATTATACCGTTAAAAGTATTATTCTTTTTGTAGCAGAAAATATAAAGAAAACACAACTAGTAATTTATAGATTATATTTTTGATTCAAATCGAATACAATACTTCGATAATATGTCACGTATAAAAAAAAACATATATTTAATATATATATAATGGGCGTCCCAGAAGTTTTGTAACAATTATGAAATGGATCGTGTTCGCATTCGTTACAGAACTTTTGGGACATTCTTTATGGTTACATGTCAATATGCACGTTCATATCTAATCTATCATTTGTTGGCTTCAAATAATGAATTTAACAAATTATTTTTTGTTGTTTAATAAATAAAAATAATTAGAATCGATTTTTCTATTTATATATCAGATAAGATTAATGTTTATTTCGCCTGTCTTTTCTATTCGATATTCTTTTTATGTTTCATATATTAATCGTATACGAGAAGACAAGAGAAAATGTCTGATAGTGTATATAAATTATACAAATAGAAATAAGAAAATATAGGATTCATAGAAAATATGTCGAACTCGATAATAAATTAAAGAAAATATTTACTTTGTCGATGTTTAATTTTCTTTTTCTCATAATTAATTCTTTTATTTTTATGATTAATTAATGGACTATCTGTTGGTTGTGTTGATACTTCAGCAAAACATCGATAAACATAATCTTTTTCAGTTAAATTATGTTCACGTGCATAAATTGCAACAACTTCTCTCATTCCAATAATAGGTGCTATACGTCTAACTAATGAATATTTAAATGAACGTGGAACTGGAATAACAACAGGACCTGAATGATGTAATTGAAGTACATAAACAGTAAGAACAATTGATAATGATGTAAGTGCCATAACAATTGTTAAATATATTTCAATAAGTGGTACCATTTCACTTGTTGCTGGCATTGATTCAGCAATTAATAACATAAAAACAGAAAAAGCTAAAAGAACAGTTATACCAAGTGTTATCTTCTCTCCTGAATCTGGTGGAAGACAAAAACCAAGAAGTGAAAGAATTGAAAGCCATATACATGGAAATATTATATTAAATAAATAATATAGAATACGACGACGAATATGAACTAGAAATTTTATTTAAATATGATAAATAAAAGAAAATAAAAAATAACTAGGAAAATTTTTATTTCCTTCTTACCATATATAGTTACATCAGGATAATAAATTCCTGGACAACATGGATAAGTAACATCATGACGTTTAATAGCAATATTAAGAATATGCCATTCACCTGAACGAATATAATTTGTCATATCAACATTATCACGTCGTTTTGTTAAATTAACTTGAGCTGCATCATATATCCATGAACCAAATTTTAATTTACATAATTGATCTTTAAAAAT